ACATGTTCGGCGCCTATATAAGGCTAATATGTGGCGATTATGATGCCTGCCTGCAGTGGCCTTTTGACCGGGATATATATTTTTCGATCCTGGATCAGACCGGCTGTGCCAACCACATTGTCCGAGTGCTCCGACCCTATCCTTGCGATTCTGACGAGAAAGGAATATGGGATCGGCCGAGAGCTGGGGACTGTGAAAAGCAGATCGGATGGGGTCTGCCTGACCTGGGATTGCGATCACTTTTCTGCACAAAAATGGGGAAACCCTCTCCTTACCTGCGCAATGGCACACTCTACATTCAAATCAGCCTGGGAAAAACACCACCCTGTACAGATGTGTGTTGAGTCCGACGGTCAGTCATTCCCCACTTTCCACGCGAAAATTGTGATAGACGAAACTGTTAAATGTAGACTAGGACACACTTTTAAAGGCCATATTCTTTTATTTGCAGATCTTTTTAGTTAAAGCATTGAGAAATGCCTCTGGATATAAAAATTACGTATGGCTCCGTGCCTAAGGCCCTTAAATGATTTTTGAGCGTTGACTTCCGCCGTCCTTTGTTAGAGCTGGTGAGAAGGAGGTATGGATAAGTTGAGATCGGTGAATATGAAGACTTCTGGGGGAGCTACGCTCAGAATTTAAAATCGTGTGGAGATCTACAGGAGAAAAGACGGATTCTAGTTAGTTCCCGCAAAAAGCACAGGGCATAGGATAGCAGTTCGATTGTTCCAAGTGACAAATTCCACCCTGTGACCCACGAAGTTAGCGCAGCTCTGGCGACTTTTGCGTGAGTGGGACAGACTTGCGTAGCATCTACCGCACTTTCCCACAAGACGGTGCCAAGGAGGCCGGAAAAAGGCTCGGGTGCAGCAAACGGGGCGAGTAACTGGTCCCTTTACGCGTCCCACACACGACGTCTTCTCCGTGTCGGGCCCCTCTAAGGACGGCACGCACCTCGCCCAAGTGGGAGTGCCGTGGAGGCTACGTTAAGAAAATGTAATTACAATGTGACACTCAGTCCTGAGAGGATCGAGTTATTCCGTCAGGGGATGGTAATCCAATTTACACGTGACAGATCTAAGCGCACATACACAAATCGAACAGTAACAAAGGGCTCATGCGAACTCAACACGGTCCGATAAACTCTTCGCGTGAGCCAATTTAACCCTTTATCCTGGTTCAGCGCATATGCAGCGTCGGCGGTTTTGTGGAAAGCATGGGGTTTTTGGACCAGAGTGCGGATAAAATCTGTAAGGATTCTTAAAAGTACTGGCACATGCGTTTTGCTACACCTTAGTTTCATCTATACCACTATTATGTGGATTGTCTGCTAGTTAATAGCGCGTTAAACTATCTTGGGTAGACAGTCTCCATTTTTCCATCCCTTTGCACGCTATGTTGACAAAATATTGACGATTTTTCGGAAGCTTGAAAACATGAGGAGGTGCCGGCACATTCAACGACCGAAACCACTCAGAAAGCTTTTGACAAAAAATGACGTTAGCTTTAAGTGGACACATAACGGCAATGACTCTTGGCCAATCAGAAGTAACCATAAGGTCGACCCAAACGAATCTGCGTGGTAGCTGGCTGGACTTGTGATTAAGTGAAGAAGAAGAGTCGATCACCGGAACACTTTGTTTATTGTCCTGAGCTTTCGGACTCGTGCAGGAGTCCATCGTCAGAGGTAGTAGCAACAACAAAATAAGCGACAGTTGAAAGGCATGTAGGCCAATCATCCACCGACGGCGCAAGACTGGAGGTGACTGCGCAGGACTCTGTACGCCGGCGCCAGATCGATAAATCGATTGACCGAGTTCTCATCCGAGAATCTGACTTCAATCACTTCTTCGCCTGTTTTGTTTACGGCGTGGACGACTATTTTGTTGGCTGCGAAGTTAAACTCGTGATCCATTTCGTAGGTGTGGGCGGCCACGTGTGATAATGTGTCGCCTCGTAACACCGTCGGCTTATGTTCGTGTAACCATGATCCGAGCATGCGTCAAGTCTACCCTGTGTAGTTACTAGGACAATTTTGACACTGAATGCGATACACTACTCCAGATTTCTCTTCAGGCCCTAACCGGTCTTTGATTTTCATGACCCTGCTGCGCATGGTGGCCTTGGAGCAGTGTGCAATTCCAACACATCGCTCCTCAGCAATGCGCTCGGTAGCTTCTGAAATGCCCCTGATGTATGGCAAAGAATGACATATCGTCGGTGGCGTTTATGTTCGAGTTATCTGGTGGCGACCGCCTCGACCGTGCTTGACTCTTCTTCACTTATGCATACACCTGGAACTCGAAATTTCGCATTCATTCGTGAATCTCCGTATGACCTGTATCGTTCGATAAACATAATCTAGATGTGTTGCGGCTCTCGTAAATGGGGCTGTATGTCAGTTCAGACAGTAAACCAATCTGTCGTCAGTTGGCTTGGTCTAAGATGGAGTCAACGTGGCCCAGCCCTCTCTGACGACAGTCCTATTTACGCGCAATTCACCAGTACTATCTCCTAATGACCGAGGCCATACTCAGAATTTATAGGCGATCTATTGTAGCGGCTAAGCGGTGATGGTGTACGCTGAGTACGCCATATCCCAAGTTGTTAGAAGCAGGACGCCATTTGATTAGGACACTTTATTATGTGCAGAATAATGAAGGGGAAATTTGGCAACCGGACGAGGATGCGTCCGGCGCCGCGGAGGCGGCGTCCGCGAGAGCGACGAGCCGAAGGTCGCCGCTGCAAATGCGTCGTTGCAGATTGTTTGCTCTATTGTTCTGGACTGTTCCCGCCTGTATTACCAATCAACGATAGGAGTTGCGTTGATTGGCTCCGAGCCCACGCGAAGGTAGTAACAAGCCTCGCGTGGTGCAGGCAGAGAATCGACCGAATGCGTGGTGCAGACAGTGAATTGCAATGAGACAAATCGAAGCCGGCAGACGTGCGTGCCATAGCAGGTTGTCACTAGAACGTAGGTGCAGGCGCTAGCAAGATGCGCGACGTAGCCATTACGGCTGTCCACTACATTGTTAAATACGGCGTGTGAGGGACATGATGACATTAGGGAAGAAGTAAGCTTCATCAACGACCTGTGTGCCAACGCACGCGGAGCATCTCATGGCCGAGTGCACGTAGATTTCTGGGCCACCTACCCGGCCCAATTTTAAGGGAAAATGCAGACGTTCCACATCCCTTAGGTGTCTAGTATAGAACCCTGTAAATCCACTTAGATGGATGACCACCTTGATCCAGTTTTGGATTTGAGGTCTGGAGATGGGGTAAGGCTAACTGACGGTTTCAAATAGCCGAAGATGGGCACTCCAGCCTCCCTAGTTTTTGCCATGTCCCACCCAAGATTTCAGATAATTTCGAAAAGGGGACCGAGTGTTAAGGTCCGACGCGGTCCGGTGAACTCGCCTCGGCCTAGACTGACGCCCAGCAATTGAATGACAAAATCAGTAATAGTCTTAGGAGCCACCCCTTTTGATTGCCCATTGATTGGACGAGAAAGTGGCTCAAACACGAGCACTGACTACTAGAAACGGTGCCCATGCGGTGTTTCATTTTTCGTTCTTATTCCTTGTCAATATCGGACCCTTATGGCTTTGCACAGCCAGCGAAACCGATAAGGCCTTCAGAAAATCTCTCGCGAGGATTTATACTGGACTGATTATTTAAATATAAATTGCACAAAGAGACACAGATAACTTCCATGATGGCATAAGAATGTGTTCGTTCATGTTCGGGAACTGTAGTAAATATTAACTGGTATTGAAGACAGCTAGAAAACTCTGGATGGCAAATTATGGCGACAAATAGGTATAGACAAAGTGGATAACAGCAGGGTGCTAAAACGAGGTACAGGTGTGTTCAGCCAATAAAGTGCGCCAGGGGGGGCAGCAATGAGAAACCCCAAAAAATGATATGTCATAAGCTGGGTAGTGCTCTGGGACGGAAATTCGACAGAAACCGAGCATGGTTGCTGTCTGTGAGGACGGATATCGCAGTTTAGACGTCGGCCTTAAGCTGGAGTTCGCTTAGGGAACCGAAGGAAGTGGTGTGTAAGTTAAGGGGTGCCGCGGAGTGACGAGTAGTCTCGCTAAAGGTCACGTTCCTCGCTCGTTCACCTCGACGATTAATTTGCTGGCTGGAGGCGTGCCGTGCGATTGCCTACAACAATTACAGTGCATTGTAAATAGGACCTACTGAAACTATGTCAGTAAGCATATATGTGAGAACTAGATTGCCGTACCTGCCGGGTCCGCGCCTGCAGCCGGTCGGGGTCGCCGGTACTGTTTAAACTTAGGGTTGAGGCAAAGCGATGTCCTAGGGTGGGTTTTGCAAAAGATGCTCCGTTTGATTCAAGAAGCCGAACGGATTTAGGCGGCTTATAGGATTCGACCGACTCAGTGAATGACTGGCCAAGCTGTGGCGTTGCCAGACCTGATTTGTCAGAGGAGTGTAGCGAGGGCGAACCGTGTATGATTTGGGAAAGCGTTGAGTTCTGCTGCAGCAGTTGCTCCATCTCAGAAAGCCGCATGTTAGCCTCCAGCAGTCGACTCTTCATCTCGAGCTCAGCAATCTGACTGTTCCTTTTTATCTCCTGTGTCTGTGAAAGATAAAGCCCCGAAGATAATCGCAAGATCTGATAAAAAAATATATGATCATATTGTTTCTTTCCCACTCAAAAAGATGCCCGACAGATTTTTTAATAGGAGGAATTGCAGGAAATCTAAGGAGATTTCCAGTTTCCACTTCCGATCTACCAGCTCTCATCAGGCTGCCAGAGGCTCTAGAAGAGCTTGGACTGGAAACCAGGTCGGATTTGTTTATCCAATGGAAGGCCTAGCAGGTGAGCCATAGGATCACTGTATCTCGTCTGCGAATGGGGTGTTACAACAAACGATAGAGGTAGCCATTCCGGTCCTCCCTGTCTTTATCGTAAATATTGATTGATTGTTGGTTCTTCCTCACTATGCGAATCTCTGGGATGGTTGTAGACAAACATCCGAATCAAAAAGGAATTTCATATGCCATCCTCCAGTTATTCCATACAGGGGGAACCACTCTCGAGAGTTGATGGCAATTTCTAAGTTCTGACGACAACTGTCTCCGTTACTTTTAAATATAATCGAACACAGGCGCCGATATCAGGAATCCTAGAGAGAGAGCGTGATTGCATGCACGGAATACCTCTGAAGCTAGACGAATAAATGGTGTTTGAAGACACTCTAAGGACGACGTTGAAAAATTCTACAAGCAAATTTAGGAAGTGTTTGGTCTAAATAAGCCATTAACGGAGGTTGAATTTTCAGCAAACAAGGGTCATTCTAGAAGCCTTTTGTCATGAAGATGAGTTATTTTTGCATCTGATCCAACTGTCTGAACAAACCTCTGCCTCCAGTTCGAAGACGCGCTGTTGCCAGTTGCGTAGTTCCCGACGCAGCTGACGTTCCGTGTCCGTCAGTCGTTCAATCTCCTCTCCTCGAATTGCCATTCGAGCCTCCTGTTGGTCGTTCTGGCGCTTCAAGCCACAACATCGCGCCTCTACTTTCCGCAACTAATGGGATGCAAAGATACAGGGGGAATAAAAAACGAGAAAACTGGGTTAAGTTGAATCCTATTGGACAGTTCAAGGTCAACGTAGAAGCAAAGGCTTATTGGTGCACCCTCCACTCCCTGTAGATGGTCCAGACATTGCGTTATAGAGACGCCAAGGGGTCGTCATAATTCATTTTTGAATCTCTGTCTACGTTCTTCGTAACACGTGGTCCCTGTCAACGAGAAACTTTCGACCGTCATTGCCAATGATGTCCACCGGTTTCGGCGATGTCCACCGTGTGCTCCACGGTAGGGTGATAGCAGGGACGGTGACATGTGCGTGGATTAGTTTAATGTGCTAATCGACTGCGCTGAATCTTCTGCATTCACTCCTTCTCCTCCATTAGGAGAAAAAGAAGACCGGAAGAAAAAGAGGACGCCGGTGACCGGCGCGACGCAGACCTGCACCTAGGCGTATTCTTGGTAGGGTTAGAGTTAAGGTTAGGTTTATGACAGGATAGAATGGAGCCTATCTCGCGATAGTAAAGAGGACGCTTCTATTTTCGAGAGGGGCACATTAACGATCCCTACCGTCAGGCCAGCTAAATTATTCCTTCTATCGATCCCTCTTCTGGACTGTCGCCTGGAACTCGCCTCTTCGCTCCTACAGGCAATAAAAGGCTCTTCTTAGGAGGTGGGGGAGAAATTACCTCGGCTTGAGTTTCGTTTAACAGGATCAACGTCCTCGCTTCCCGATGCTGAGACTTGAGGGCCTCCGTTTTCCACTCAGACTTGTCCGCAAACTTGGTGATGGATTTGCGCAGGGAGTCAGTTATCCTTCCAAATGTCGTGGCTGGCCGTTCCGCTGCAGCTTTCTCCCGTTGGGTCCGCAACCGTACAGCCCCGGAGGCCTGATTCACCTTACCGTCCTTCTGGCAGACACAGGGTGCTGCTTCCGTCGGCAGGTTGAAAGGATTGGCGATCGATTTGCTACGACTCAGGTTGGTTGGGCGACAGACTGGGGCGGGCTCTTTCGCAGTAGCCTGGTCGTATGCGCTGAGACGCAGGTAGGGGCTGCTGTGAGCAGATGTGAGTGAAGCCAGAGAGAGTTCGTCGTGACTCTCTGAGGTGCAGCCGCTGTCACTCAGGGGCGAATCACTGCCGGAGCGGTGGAATTTCCTAATTGGTCTTTCTTCTTCCCCGCGTGACCAGCGGTAGTCGTCTGGCCGATGAACCATGCTTGGACGGTGGGTTGGAGACAGGTGGGGGGTGATGTCATTGGTGGAGAGCCTGCATTCTACAGGAGTCGCAGCTTTCAGCTTCTGCATGCAAGCTGATATCGGCTCGTTGGAGTTGAATAGCACCTCCAGCCAAGGCACCTGACGTGTAAGGAAACTTTATAAAAACCGTTTACTCACAATTATCAAGTAGTATTAAGTTATCACAAGTCTAACCTCCTGTATGATGTTATCGATCGACTCGACCCTGTGTAGAAGTTCCTCGTAGGCGAGAAGGATATCCGCTTCTCGCTGTCGGCACATACTGATCTCATTTTGTAAAACGTGAGCTTCTTGACTGCTTGCTGCCAAGAGCTCAGCCTTTTCCTACAAAAAAAGAATCGCGTCGAATTGTTGGCGTGAGGTTCGTATAATCACAGCAAGATATTCTGCATTGCAGCATTAAAAAACTGCGATATGCTGGTTCAGGCAGTTCTCTTGACCAGGATTCGCAAAGCATAAAATATCTGAGGATTACTTTGAACAAGGGCTTTTTAAACCTGAGCCTATTAGACGTCGATGACAGTTCGATGCGAGAAAATAGACATATTAGCAGATTATTCTACCCATAATTCCACGGTACAATCAGCTTGACTGACTTTTTTTGCGGAAACAGAATTTCGTTTCGATAACGCTTTCAACTTTTAGTGAAATAGAATTAAGATAACTTAGTTAGATTTACGCATTACGTTTTTTGCGTTCAATAAAACCTGCTAAACTTGACGAAAATGGTTTCTAATGATTGCATCGATTAACATTTGAAGAGCGTGAATAAATCGCATATCCAACCCTGTGATAAAACGAAAAAAACAACGTTAGAGTGGGCTTCAAATCGGTTATTGGCTTCCTATCCTGCGTGGCGTCCCGCGAGTGTGCCAGGTTTAACACAAAATTCAATGAAACAGACCCAACCTACAACTAAGACAGTGAAGTGGACGCAAGCCGTGCGTGACCATGGAAACTGTTGGTAGAAATCGTTGGAGCGTTAATTCCCACCTCAACTAGCAGAGCGTTAAGTTCAGTAGCCGACTTCATCCGAGATTAAATCTTGAGTCCCTGTGACCGGAAAGTCAGAAACGACCATTCAAATCTATCCTCCAGGACTGAAGGGTTTCAACCTGAATTATAACCGTCAAAGCCCACCGCATTCTTGTCAATCAAACCGCATATGAGTTGAATGACCCCCTGTCTGGTACAGTGTGAAGTTTGGCCGGGGGAGAAGGAGGAGGGAGATTCCCAATAATACTGTCTTATCTGGTCTCATCAAACCGACGCTCGCGAGGTAGTTCACCGACGATGAACAGTCTTCGGAGTCCGCGCTGTACGTTGTCAGAACTCAGGTGACCAATAAGAAGACGCTCAAAATCAGTGCTTCTCAACCAATCCCTAAGTTATTCTTTACACCGACGGTAGACAATATTAAGACATTCTGTCTCCGGAATTGGCTAGGAAAACGACAGATCTACCAGCTTTTCATGACTTTGACAATAGGCTGCATAGCTTTTCATACCCGGAGATGTCGTATTTGAAATTGCCTCTATTAATGAACGTCAAAACCCCTCACAGGAGCAGTACTTTGATTGATCATGGTCCTATCTGCGACTTAGGACAACTTCAAACGGGCCACAGTAGGATGGTCGTTAACCGTATGGTCAATATTAAATAGATACCAGAACTCCCTCTCTTCTGTCTCTAGGACAACATTTCACCTAGTTAACACGGGCCGCACTCTGGCCGTCGAGAACGACGATATCCCCCGTGTGCCCCACAATACATTGAGCGCAGTACAAGTGGCTCGCGTGCGAATTAATTTAAAACGATAGCAGACTTGTGCAGCGTCTACCGCACTCTCTCTTCATCAAGATCCGGTGTCGATAGGGCCTGAGGACAGGGGCTGACAAAAACTGGTCTACGCGTGCAACACACGACCTGGTCTAGGTTAAGGGGAAGACTGGTGGACGACTTAGGCTCCATCCGATCGAGAGTATCTCAGAGGCCATATTAAGAGCCTGAATCTCCGTCCTGAGGGGGGGGGGACAGAATTATCCTTTCAAGTCTCGGCTTTTTGCGTCACATTGTTTATAACAAGGGATTTGTGCTGAAGTCCCATGCGGACGCGGAGACCCTAGAGTCGACCTCACTCGCTCTCTTCCTCGCAGTCCGCGGTCCTAATCGGTCAGCCGTATGATGGCCAGGCGTGGGACTGCGCCTAGGCGTACCGCCATTTCCGCCTGTGTGTGTGTGTGGCATTTGTTATGTGCTGAGCGGACTGTGAAGCCTGGTTAAGGCGTGATATGCCCACAGTCTGACCTCCCGTTGTGGTCTCGCGCATCTAAAGCTTGACCCGTTTCGTGACGACTGGGTAGTCTTCAGGCAGGATTTTCGAGTCCCGGCGAGACGCCCCGAATTTTTGCTCTAGCAGATACTTTGTGACGGTAGGGACGGTGGCCATATAGCTAGCCAACCCAATCTTATGCTCATGGAAGACGTTCGTTCAAACCCTCAAGCTGCCATGGCCTAAGTTGACCCCTAAATGTTCTTATTTGCATCCTAAAGCGTCTCGTTACATTGAAAATGTACAAAAATATCAAGTAACAGTCTCATTCTCTCCCTGCTCTCTGACAGAACTAGACCATAATTCCACCCTTCCCGGTTCAATTATGTCCAGGTATCCTCAAACGTCCCTTCCCCACTAATATCGTTTATTGGCTGTTTTCATCTTTCGCAGTTCCACTATATCTTATATTGGTGCGCTGGCCTGGTGGTCAATAGTCGAAAACGCACGTTTGTCGGCTCTGTCTTTTTCAAAGTTCACATGGGTGTCGTCGCAGGACAATTATCTATCGAACTCCAAAATCTCAAAAAAGGGTTTTTTAAAGCTTTGAATTCTACCCTACGCGAAAAAGAGCGCCTAATTACTTGAGGTACTTTATTTTTAGGGTTTTAACAAATGGATAGTGCAGAATCTGTCTTTATGAACGATCGAATAAGAAATTGAAAATCATAAAGTTTTCAGCGATATCTCAAGGTCGGTGTTAAATCCGACGTGATACAGAATGAAGGAAAGGCGCGAATAAGTTTCACGAGAGAAAAGATCTCTTTAGGTGCGAAAAAATGTATGTTCACGATTACACTTGTCAGTTCTATTCGAATTTATTAGTCATTTATCTGCCTGGCAACATCTGCTCTAGTAAAACCTTTCGTTCTTATGACGTCCCTATCGGCGAAGTTAGGCAAAACCTATTTGCTTTATCGAACTGCATCCCAATCAATTCAAAAACGTAAAGAATACCACAAATCCTTGGGTAACCGTTTTGGAATCTATACTCCAAATGTCGGCTGTCAGCAATCCACCACACCTGAAGTTACACTATTTCTTAAAGGACATTTAAATGAGAACTTTACTAAAATGTCATTTTTAAACGTTATTCTATTTTTGCTGTCCTATTTACTCCGTTATTGCGTGGACAGCATTCAGTACATATGAAAGTGAAGTTCACAAAATTACAAACAGTTTTGACGTTTTCGGGATTTTTCGCTTTTCTAAAAAATTGTATTTCTAAACAACGTAACATTGTTTTGAATATTTCTCTTATGTTTTTACTTCCTTCGAAGTTTTTGTTTATTAGCATAGATGTTGGCTCCACTCACTGATATCGGTTTGATAGTGACTAAAAAAATCATTCGCAAATCTCAACATATTTTAAGAGTTAAGTCACGGACCGTACATTAAAGCAGGTTCACTGTTACACTGACAATAATTTTATAATTTTATTCTCAGCATGAAAACCACGAGGCAATGCCAAGGACTGCGAACGAATGACGAGTCCCACTAAGGCAAGAAACCCACTTGGCAGCATGCAGTGAAAGGACGCAGGTTTTGAGCGACTGCTTCAGAATACGCCCCCTTTTATATTTTACACAGTTTATAAGCGCGGTTCACAAAGCATAAGGAGGAATTATAAGCGGGCACTTTTTTGAGAAGGGTAAATAAGACGAAGGTACTCGCAAGGCAAGGTGACCTTGAGGGATGAGAATTCACAGTATGAATCGATGACTTTTAGTGCTGTCGACAAAGGTCGCTTCGGGCCTCTCTTTTCTTGCCACAGTCGGACGGTCGCGCCCGGCCATGGCCGAGAATGTGCACAGCCACAATAAAGTGGAGCAGTGGTAGAACAGTATGCTCTGAGTTCAGGAAATTCCTGGTAAACAAAATTGTCGTAAACAAGCGCGCAATCGCCGCGGCCGAGACGAATGTGAAGCCTACTTGGATTACCTCCCTCTCTCATAAAGACCTAAAAAACCACGGCCGACGTGTTGTTACCATAGCAACCGGAGGTAATTACGTCTTTTGCCCATGCGACTCACATGCCACCTGTCGCCTAGGGGCGCGACCGAAGTGACCTACCATATTAGGTGCCCTCGTTCCTTCACTACTTATGTCGGTGGTCATACCAGCGATAACATGCTACCGTGAAAATGGAAACCCGAGGATCTACATGCTGTCATAGCAGCCCCAAACACAGCACAGACATGAAAAGTTGAGTCTAAGACTAAACAATCCCACCGATGGCTACGGCCCGGCAAAATGACGCTGGCCAAATCGGCTGTCATGACGAACTAATCCCGAATGTCTTTACAGCAATGAACAACCTGTCAGACACCAAAAAGAAAAGCCCCTTCATCTTCTCTTTTAATGCCTATGCACATGCCACAATCGTCTTCCTACAATGGCAACCTGGCATAGGAACTGGAATAAGGTTGTGTTTGGGTGCGTCTGCACTCACCTTCGGTCGTCTAGACTTTGTTCTGTCAGCGGAGCAAGGGGCAGTGGTGGGTGAGAGAGAGTTAGGTGCGTTGCAAGTCATTGCTGCAGTTCCAACATTATGAGACAGTGATGGACGTTTATCTTTTTGGCGGATGAGCTACCGATTGCTCTGCCTGCCTCAGAGAACTAAGCAATGAAACCCTTACCACCCCTTATATTCACTTCGTGTGCAGATCACATGTTCCCTGATTCGCACCCGTATAGCCCTACCCGTCGAGACTTCTGAAGTTCTTACTACTGAGGAGGGAGGGTGCATTCGCCAAGACATCCGACATTCCCTTCATTTAAAGATGGCTATTGCTACCAGTTTTAAAAAATTATCGAGTACAGTTCTACCTGACTTTTTAGCAAGCACACCTTAGATTCGTTTTGTGCTCAGGTGTGGTCAAGGACCTGTGTTATCGCCTCATATCCGTCCTATCATGTGATGTGTGCATGCAGGCTGGAAAATTTCATTAACAAAAAAGACAACGGAGGTCATTCCAGAAAGTAGTGTATAGCGATTAAGAGGAGACGGTGTGTAAGTGGGGGTTACTAGTCAAATCTGATTGTATTCTAACCTCGCAGCCCCAATCTACTTCCCAAAGTTGAAATGACTGCGCCATATACCTGATTCTAGTTGATCAGAAAACTTAACTTCCCATCGATTAGTACGTAAATGCCAAATGAGTGCCTGTTTTGGGGAGCTTTTCATGAAACAATCATGAAAAAGCAATGTTCGAGACCCTAATGTGGGATACATTTGTTAATCTGTTCAACGGAACGTGCATAAGCCGCCTTGGGCATGGTGGTTCCCACAAAACCGTAAATGAGGCAGACTATGTCGCGAGCCCAGAAACTCGACGCTATTCCTTCAAGTGGTAAATGAATCACGAAAATGCCCATCCATCCTAAAAACACCTAAGCTGTGACCCCCAAAGGAGCCATGTGATAGATGCGCGGGACCAACACGGGGACCATTTCGGTTTCTGGCAGGCGTTATTGGCTTAGCGCACCGTAAAAAATACTAACATTGGCAGATTGGCATTACCGACAAAGACAAGGGAGACTGGAATGGCCATTTCTGGCTTATTAGCCGTTGCAGCCAGCCATACCCAAGCCCGAAGTGTGGAACACCCGAGCCTCGAACTCGCGACCTGTTGGTTTAGAAGTCCACGCCTCTACCCACCGGGCCACGAGCCCGTTGCCCTGTCGGTCATAATACTAACATTTTCGGGTCCGGGGGGGGGGCATATCCGGTTGACGGCGTAAGTCGCGCACACTGGGACCCTTCCACCCCCCATTGTTGTTGCTGTTGATCAAAAACCTGGTTATTTGTTGTGTGGACCAGGGCGATGTTGGGTGGAACGCCAAGGTGCGGGCTCGACCTGCCATCCACCTGCGCCCTCCTTCCCCTCCGGTCTTCCTGACCCTCTCTTGACACCGGGTCCAGGTGTGAAGTTGGGAAGAGAGTACAAGTCTCCCACCACTATAAACTAAACTTCTGCACAAGTCACCATTCCTGCTCGCAGCCTGTTCTGGAGCACACGGTGGACATTGTCAAAACGAACTATCGGGGATAGGGCAGACAGGTGAACTGTCGTAAGCATGGTGTTATGGACACATATATATTCTTTCAATATGGAGGCCTACATTGACAAGGAAGTTCGAAAGACCCTACTTCAAGAATCGCCAGAATTTTTTTCTCGCGACGGAAACCATCCACGGGAAAACCTTGTCCTTCCTTTCAAGTTACATGTAAGCGACATTTCATCCTCTGCTGGCCTACATTTTATTCGCATTTCTCTAAAATATAAAGCATAAGGACCAAAATTCGAGCCATGCTACCAGGTACTCTTAAGGGCGACTGTGTATAAATTAGCCCTTTGCCAACAGTTATATTGGCAAGTAACTGCGCCACCAGTCGCATCGTCTACAACCTTCTCAAAGGGTCCGTTATTTTTTTCAGAAACTAGCATGCACATAAAGGTAATTTAGGAATCGGACATCTACAAAGTATCAAGGGGTATATTTGGCGCAAAAGTGCTGTCTCCCATCCCTGTCTTAATTCCCTAACACAGATTGACATATTTCAACAACGTGCTCAGCAAGTGACAGACGTGCGAAGGAAATTTGCAATTGAGATTTCGATGGCAAATGTTCTGATATGACCGACTGTGCTTGCCAAAACTAGCTTTCAAATGTAAAAATTATAAACCAGTGGTAGGTATAGTAGCATTTTGTTACCATGCCTTGCAGCACAGGTATTAGCCAAAAGCCCAGACAAGCGTGCTTCCCCGGTATTCTGTCGCTACATGACACAGCCGCGGGGGGTTCAGATCATTAGTGGGTGCCACAGCATCCCTCGTGCGTTTTCTGTTAGATACTCCGATCACCAATCACAATGCCAAAAGCTACGCATACTTCGCGTAACGTTTGAGATTGCGAACTCGAACGCCATGTGTTCTGACATGACTGATACTATTTGAACAAATTTAATATATTGATTTCTAGATTACAAAGAGTATTGCAGTCCTAATTAATTAAAAAGCCCTTGTTTAGCTGCACGGGGTTTTCCCGAATAACAAGAAAGGGATTTTTATTCGAGCCACCTATAAGTAGGTAGAGAAGTCTGGGCATGATTTCCATAATCTCAAAATATTGTGGCCAATACGCGAACAGCAAGCGACATATTTTAACAACTTGCTCAGCAGCTGAACGAAGTGCTAACAGAGTAGGCTCCAAAGAAACTTTTAAATTGAGAATTCGAAGGCAAATGTTCTGATATGATCGACTGTGCTTGCAAAAAATAGTCTTCAAATGTTTGGATTATAAACGAGTGGTTGATGTGGTAGCATTATGTTAACAGGCTTTAGAGCACAGGTACTAGCTAAAGCTCAGACAAGCGTGTTTCACCGATATTCTGCCGCTACAGGACACAGCCGCGGCGGTTCAGTGGGTCCCCGAACGTTCATCGTGAGCTTTCTGTTAGATCCTCTAATTTTGAAATTGCAGTTTTTTTACTTTCCTCAGAAATAATTTGGGTACTCGGATTAGATCAGTCTACTCGAGACACATGTTTTCAAGGCGAAATTTTAACTACTACCTGTGCTGCAAAGTAGGGTAGGTTGTGCTAACTAACAATATACTAACGGCTGTCTTTTGGCAGTTTACGACTATTACTCGGTTAGTCCGTTGTGGCAGATGGACTTCAGCCCAAATATTCATATCAAAATTCAGTCTGGGTCTGTAAGTCACAAACACGTTAATCTGTTTTAAGTTAACAATTAATTTCTGGGGAAATTAAAGAGTCGCCAAACAGTGATGCATTCCTTATTTATTAAAAGCACTTGTTTGACTGCGCAGACTTTCCCGAATGACAAAAAACACATTTTTATTTGTGCCTCATATAAAATTGCCAGAAACCGATCCGTGAAAAATTAGGTTTTTCCAGGATGTCCTTCAGATAATCTCAATTCCTTTTAATGGTGAGGACGTCTGAAGCCCTCAAGCAGAGGCCCAGGTGATATTTGTGCATTCAAACTATTGTTTGGGAAGAATTGGGTCACTAATGTGGAAAGGGCGTTCACTGGTCTGTTTACCGGACGTGGCTCAATCTAGAACTCTCTCAGGTAATCGCAAAGAGACCGGCAAGTGTCTTATCTCAAGAAATTTTAATCGAAATTATGAAATGTATATTCAACCCAGAGAATTCCCAAAATAAGTTTGTTATGTTAATTGTACTGCAACAGAATCCTAAGACATATAAGTCAGGCTAGGATGCCGGCTTTTAAAACGCGCCTCTTTCCTGCCGTCTTCAAAAACTGCACTCTGTAAGAAATGGCTACTAATGTAGCAAGAATTTTCCCATTGATTTTAGATTCCCTTATAAATTCAGTCATATTTTGCTAGAACATGTAAAAAATATTTTTCCTTGTACTCGGCTTGTTGCAAAAGTTCTAGGGCATCGAAAAGTTTTTTGAAAACAGCAAGATACGCTTTCTTTAAGTGGAAAAATTGAAGGCCTAATTAGTTACAAAATTAATAAAAGAGGGAAATTGTTTGTGCATTTGGATTTATAAGGGTATTGGAGATCAATGGGGAAGATTCGTACAGAGGAAGCTCATTCAAAAACCGATATCCTGGCCTAATGAAAATATCTTGGGGTTCTGCCGCACGGTCATTAATATTACAACCCTACTAAAGTAATATTTTTCAGTCGAAAAAATTTTTTTCGGAATTCCGGTTAACATTTAATGAGACGTCACATCCACTATATGTACCATCTAAGGCAAGTGATAATAAAAACGGGCTGTTTTTATTATGGAGCGTTAGGTCCAACGTCCTACTATTGGGTACAGATCCATTTTCCTGTCGTTTTTTGAAGGGCGTTTGTCGATAGGGCTACAAGTCACTCGGATTACTTGTGTACGGCGGAAGGCAGTCAAGCGCAAAGAACAGTCACAGAAACCCCAAATGCAGTCGAGTTTTGATTAACTAGGCTTGACTGCTTTGCCGGTTCTGGTAGGGTGGAGGCAGGTTTTCTACGCACAAGTAAGGCCAGGTGTTCATATTCGGTGCCTCTTTGTTGGTGTGTGTGTGTAGTGACCTGACCATGCACCCAAATCGAGGTCACTGTGGAAACAGACCTTACAGGAGCGAATGGCAGACTAGACCGGCAGACGATCAAATCACCAGTGCAGGAGCTGTAAAGTACGAAACGCGTGAAAAAAGCTCTAACTTTATAAAATTTCTAAAACCGAATGGAATTGTCGGGGGGGGGGAGGGCGGTCAAAAGCAAACGACACGTCCTCCCCCACCCCGCCTCCATGCCCCAGCGAAACAGTCAGACGCGCACAGCTCCGCAAACATGCCAGTCAGGATTTTGGTCAGAGCTTACAGGAATCCCCGCAGACACTGGCTCTCTGCCCAGCTGATGAGGTGGTAAATTTTGCTTTCGTAGGAGGAGGGCTAAAAACAAAAAAGTTTCCTGCCATGACGTGGTGCGCGTGCTTGCGCCAGCGCTTCTCACATGGTTACGTTGGATTGCTAAAAGGGTCCCTTCTCACCGATTTCACAATACCACCCATGATGTGAATGCCACCGAGTGGTATGCGCCTCATAACCAGTGCTTGACAGAATGGCGTGATGAGGGAGGGAGAGCCGTCAGACTCTGCCAGCATTCATCCAAAAACTGCCTCGACGTTGTCGGCAGAGAACTTTGCTCAAAAAAACACGGAAAAGAGAGCGGTTGGTGCTGAGGCCAAGGACTCGAGTACGGGATTCTTACTCTTTGAAAATTAAAGACATACAAGGGTCATCCGACTCTCCCTTTTTTGGACTATCCCATATTCATGTTGTCAGACATTACCCACTTCCCACTACCACTTCCGCATGATGTACACTGTATTAGATGTATGGTAAGTAAGCGACGTTAACAGTGCGATGAATAAGCCGGATAAGTCCATGCAGTCTGCCTTGCTTATGTCAGTTACTCTTCTTCTATGTATTTATAGTAGGTGGGCTAACTCAGGAAACGTCAACCGAAATTCCAAAATGCGTTTTCTTTACCAAAAGATTAATTAGGCAGGGTTTTAAAACTAATCATCATGCAGAATAATTGTATAATAACTCAGTTACCTCAGAATACCGGCTTTCGAGTGAACATCCTTCCGGCTGCATGCAAAAACAACATTCTCTAAAAAATGACTGCTTAATTAGCGTGCATTTTCCTCAATGATTTTCGATGCCCTTACAATTTCGACTATATATCGTGGAAAGCATGCATATAACTATTCATTCTTTTGCTCACTAAGTTGAAAATTACGTCTTCTTCCAATTTCATGCTCGAAGAAAGTGTTTAATTTGGTTTTATAGAAGTTTCTAATTGTGAGATTTTTCAATACCATGAAATGACCGTTCATCAAACTTCAGGTCTCTTTATTTACCAATTTGGCTTGTGAAGTCAACAGTATGGTTCAAATCCACTGCCAAATATCATGAACTCATTATAGTCTCCTCTTAACACCAAATAGAAATATATGGCTTTTCGCGAGCGGAAAACATACGACTTGCAGTTTGGAAACTCCGAATGCAATTGTAACGGAACGTCGGGTTCAAAATTATTCGAGAATTAGAAGCCTATTTGAAAACCAAATTAAGCCCTTTCTTTGAGTATGAACTTTAAGGATGACGCAATTTTTACCAAATGAGCGAAAGAATGGATATTTTTCTTCATTTTTCTATGAAATTTAGTTGAATTCTCCAGGACACTGAAAACTAATGGGAAAAATTCGTGCTAATAAAGTAGTCATTTTTACAGAGTATAATTTTTGCATACAGCAGGAAAGAAGTGTGTTTGAAAGCCGGAATCCTGAGGCAATTGAATTATGATAGAATTATGTTGCATGATGATCCGTTTTATAACCCCATTTAATTACTCTTTTCGGTCGGCTGACATTGTGGTTGGTATTTCATGAGTTAGCCCGCCTACTGTAAATATGCATATTGCAAACGTTGGACCAATGAGGGTTGACATATTCGACGCCAAATGATAAACACAGACCGGTCCGCGAGAAGCACGGATAGTTTAGGCAGAAAGTTAATTAAAATATCTCCGTAGCTGTGCGAGCACAAAGACCTCGAGGAGGATAAACATGTGACAGAAAAGCGAATGCAAATAAAATGGCCAAAATCAGTTTATCAAGAGTCATGCAAGGCATAAGTCCCGGAATTTTTCTGATAGCTTCCTTCCGAAGATTGGAGAAATCCTTTTATTTATTATAGTAGAGCTGTCCAGCAACCGATCGATATTTAAAATCTAATTGATGGAATGTTTTTAAAGCCGGTGCCGCTCACGACTACAGGTGATACAATGTCATTCCACGCATTTAATATTTACTATTTTTCGGGCCAGCGTTTTTTATTTTGTGGTGGCGGACTTGTACTGCATCTATTGCACTCTCCCCTCGTCATCCTCCTGGGTGCGGTGTCAAAAGAGAGTCAAGAAGACCGTAGGGCGGGATCGTGCGCAAGTGGCTGACATGGCGTAAACCCGCGCCTAGGTACGCTACAAATTCCCTGGTCCAAATAATTAAGATCAGGATTTTACACGGTAAGAAGCAGGGGCTGGGACCCTAGTTATGTAGGAGTGCCACAGACGCCATATTAGGGTGGAATTACTGCAGCCTCAATTTCCGTCCCCAGAGGACTGAGTTATCCCTTCAGTAGGCAGCCTTCCAAGTTACGGCCTTTAGCGCGTCGAAATAGTTTCAGTGCACGACAGGTTTTTGTTAAGGAAATGCGCCGAAGTACCTGAGGGATGCAGTCCCCCAGGGTCTACACCAGACTGTCTTCCTGCTCCAAGATATCGATCCGCTGTTCGAGCCCGCCAGTCATCTGATTTAAGTGGCTTGGGTGGTTTGGGCCTGTGCCTTGGCGTGACACAGCAGTCTACATGTGAGACATTTATTACGTATGCGTAGCCCAGCTGACGTGTGTCATGCATCCCTATTGGACTCCTGCTGCGCGTTATGATAGTGTAACAACCCATGGCTCAAATACAAACAAAGTTGGGAATTCCAGCCCCGTGTAAATTCCTGTTTCTTCTTCTAGTCCACGGAAGCTGTGCACAACCGTATGGTTTTTCCTAAAACGAATGTGTGGATATTTCAGTTTGTTTGAGGACAGCGACAAGAACAGAGCATAAAAAATCGGTCAGTGTATGTCGCTATGTGACACACAGTCGTCCTGACGTGAAGACAGCTGTCCAAGAACGCAGACATTGGTTCAAAAGGTATTGGATGTTCAGAACGACGCGGGATTGTATCGTTTTACTATCCAGAATTGCGGTACCGATTTAAAAGAAATGCCACAAATCAGACTCCAAACATCTACATATTTTTTCACGATCAAGGGATCAACAGAGTCAAAGGCCGGTCCCTGAAAAATTCTCATTTGCGTAGCAAGAGGATCATCACCAGTTTCTGAAAGGTTGTACTTTATCTTGCCTGGAAAGCTGTACTCAGAGAAATTCCAGGGTCTATGCTTTGTATAACCCCCGTTTAACCATGCTCGTTTTTTTAATTCGCATTAAGCATACATGACTTTTTTCGAAGTGCCAAAATCATTTTATCGATTTTTGTTTCAAATCTCCGTGTCCCGCGCAGACCGGTTTGCCTTGATCGATTGGCGCCACCAAGGTCAATCTGCGTTTGTCAAAAATGCGTCATTTTGTCAACTTATGACATTTTGTGTAAAAAGGCATCTAATTTATTATCATTTCTTTCGTCAGACGTCTTTTTGAATGTCAAACCTGTTAATGGAAACGGTTTAAGTTGACTTCCTAACCAGCCTCCTAAATTCACGAAGAACGTCCACTTTCCAAAAAATGCGTGGCATATAATAATTTTACGCGTTTGGCGAATCATCGAACGATATATATTTCGGTCGGTGGTTAGATTACCGTGGCAGTCTGCAGTGCATAGAGTCTAAGCATAAAACCGGAATTTTCTAACCAAACCCTGAGACTTAACCAGTGTCTTACGGTATATTCACACAACAAGCCGTATTTAAGCTTCAATCTATTCTTCACGATAATTAACCCTCTGCTGCGCAGTTAATTGAAATTTAATTCGCAACTAAGGGAAACTCCGAGCGCATTAATGAACCCCAAAAAATGTTTTTTGGGCGTATCCCGGTAATGCAGGCGCGTGTTTACAACTCTACTTCAAAAATTGTCTCGGAGGTGGTTCGGCACTGTGGGTTAAAAAGATTTAAGGAGAATCAGCAAGCGAAATGTGTCCAAATCAGGCCTAAAAGTACAAAGGCTCTATGCGTTTGTTGCAAGAGGCTTAAGGAGGACCAAGTGATATCGAAAATTGGCCCTAGCCAAAATTGGGATGATTGGCTGATTCTTGCAGGGGATAATTAACAACTGTTGTCCTTTGCCAAAAAAACATACGACGCAAATCTCCTGTCCAGTTCGTCATACTTTAGGAAGTCTAAGACTTTTCTGTTAAGTAGAATACAGTTGAGCTTCGCACATTGCATATACGGCGGGAATGAACAATCGTCACATATTTGGGTTACGTTATGCGTTAATGCGTTGCGCCTCTGATGCATTTTCGCAGTTTTTCGTAACATTCTTGCCAAGACTCCTGAATGGTGGCCTAGTCCGCTGCCCCAACGCAGTAACTGCGTCGGTATATGGTAGGTTGGTCGCATCTGCGTAATCGTGGTCTGCGCGCTGGACAATTGTTTATAAATCGTCGCCGTAGTCCGATGCGTCAGGACTATTGAGTCATACAGGGTGTGACTACTATTTACGACCCCATAAAAACACAGCCCCCGACTACCTCGGGGTGCGTCAGCGATTGACGTCCTTGTGGACTTTGTAAGCATAACAAGGCTGAGGCTTTGCTGGTATGCTTAGGAGAAACAGAGAGCGATCTGACTAGGCGTAGGTCACCCGGAAGACATGCGGTCGCTCACTTTACGGTGGAAATTGACCACCAACCTATCCGGTGTTCTCACCTGGCCTGGTCTGGGCTGGAGGGACCCAAAACGGGTAGGGGGCAGTTGATTTATTCACCGGGCAACGGTAGGGTAAAGAACCCAACTTAACTGTCGGTAGACTGTGGATCGCGTCACAGACGAATGGGGATAATGGGGGGTTGAGGGGTAAGCAGCATGCTAGACAGTAAGCTGAAGAAGTGCGAGAAATTACAAAAATGGTTTGGATTTCTGCCAAAAGTCCAACCGCACGCTTTTGTTTGGCGAGGAAAGTGAACGCACTCACTAGGAAAATAGGCAAAAAAGCAAAATTATCGAAAAATAACGGAGTTTGAGTAATTTTTCGAGGTCATAGGAAGTAATTGTTGGTGGCAGCGTAATGTCTGCAACGGCCTGCAGATGGATGCCAGGATAAAACTCCGTATGACCTGATCTCAAGTCTGCTGACAGTCAAGTGGGGTCCTCCACCCTACGGTTGCCATTAACTGTTTAAAACACAGATTTGTGGGTCCTGTCGGGTTCGGATGGGAGGAGTAGCCGGCTCCTCTGTCCCTATTTTGACACTGGTTCGCAGTCTCTGGGTCAGCATTCCTACGCCTCTATGTTTTCAGTGTGATCTCTCTCAGCATATGGGAATCAATGCTATCTGGTTTTGTTTAGGGAGGATTTTTAACTCCGCAGTAGGCGACGCAACTTACAAGATGTTGTAACGCAATCCTGCATGAGTAGTATGGAGTATATGCGGTGTTTTTATTTTTGTTCATTACGTTACTTTTAGACGCAGAGGACCTTTCAATAAAGTTAAGGTCCTTTCAAAGCTGCTTTTGAAGGGGGAAACATTAGAACTTTAGGCAAAATCAGAATTCTTCTGATATGCTAGTAAATTTAGACGATGTTGAGTGCCACGGACTAAGGCCGTTTGCTTGAACGCCAAAACAGCTAAAGACTGTAATCTTATTTTGGATCACAGTCAGTGTCTACGCCTGCGGCCTGAGAAGCATTCTTATCCCCGCCAATAGCCTGAACCTAACTTCTTCCGAAAGTCTTCCGCCAATGGTAAAAAAATCGGATCAAGTCCAGAAAACTTCTTTCGACGCAGGGTAGGCTAGACTTAGTACCTGATGATTGTGTATTCTAATCCCCCATCGATAACTTAGTAGTTTTCATGTCGGCCAGGCTCACTATAGCATTACATGTAACATAAGAATGAAATAAATGCTCAAGCCATATTTTATGTATTATTAGCTCTTATTATTTTCCCCTTTCTTTGCAAATGGCCTCCTTAACGTTGGTTATATTTAGCGGAAAATTAATGATTTGAGGTGCTGATTTTCGGTAAAATAATTGTTTTGCAGCTAATAAATCGTAATGGTTTATAAACTAAACTATGCTCTCATTTGAACACAGTCTAGTATACGGGATGGATGGTCTTCGTGTTACTGTTTTTTGTGAGAACTTCGTGGCATTTCATCAGTTACGTTGTTAACTATAAAACAGTATTCAATAAACGGAGGGTGTTTAGTGTTCCGAAGGCACACCTGTGGAATTGAAACACGAAAGAAGAAGACGCCTTGACCAAGCCGTCTCGGGAACCTTCCCAGCAGCAAGGGTTCGCGTATCATTCTCTACTAAGCCTATTTTACGCGGAGAAGGTAAGGATAAGTTGCCACCCCAGACCATTTCGATGTGCATCTACTCATTCACTTGCTCCTGTGGAGCAGGTTATATTGGTCGTACGAGTCGGCGCCTTTCCAAAAGAATACGAGAGCATCTTCCTGCATGGCTGGCAAAAGGTGGAACTAGGAGAATAGGCAGCGTCATCCTTGCGCATGCAGTGGATTCAGGGCATCGTGTGGACCCCACTGAAGTATTCCGTGGGATTTATAAGGTCCCCTCGAGCTACCCTAATCTACTGTGCCAGCGCCTGTTAGCAACAGCAGAAGCGGCCGCCATCAGGTTACGTAAACCGACCCTTTGCGCCCAAAAGAACCCCGTTCAGGCTCCGCGCTTGCCGTGGTTGAAGGTTGACTAACCACAAACAAATTTCTGCGCCCCTCCACTCTTGTCGAGCCTGTAATTTAAAACCTAAATTTTATCGATTTTTGTTTCACTCACTGTACCCCGTCCCATATAACTGTACTGGCCTGATGAGAAGTTATCGAAAGCAACGTTCGCTCGCCACCTTTTCTTCCGAATATAGCTATGGGGATTTTCACAATTCTGAAGCAAGAAAGCTTCAGTATTCTGCGACTATTGGACTTCAGCCGCCTCTAGAGTCGTTTTAGCCTTTATTTATGAGCAGTCCACCTCATTAAGAAATCGCAACCATTTCTAGAGTAAATTGGCGGAGGATGGGCAAACCGAGGGAGGGGCCTATTTCGGGGAGATTCATATCCTACCAACCTGTGACTAAATACCAGCAGATTTGCACTCCAACAGCGAATGTGGCCTGAGGGTCTGTCAAGATGTCATAGCCCAGGGGTCCTCCACTACCACAGCTGACTGATTGCCCACCGATCTGATTGGAACACCGGAAAAGAAGGACTGAGGCCATACATATTCGGAATGCTTAGTTTATTGCAGTGGGTGTGCTATCTCACGAGATGCTAACCGACATTCTGAAATGCGTATTCAACTCGCAAATTTTACTTAAGTTAGGTTACAATATTAATTATCGGGCTACATAATCCCAGGGTATTTCAGTCACCTTAGAAGGCTGGCTTTTGAGTGAGCATCTCCTCGGCTCTTTGAAAATGCCAAAACTTTTAAAAATGGCTACTTGATAACTATAAATCTTGTCCATTTGTTTTCAATGTCCTTATAAATGCAAATATTTTATAGAAACCAAGCATAAAGATATTCCTTTTTATACTCATTTATTAAGGGCATACTTTGAGCAAAGGCATCGTTCGGTTCCGAAAATTTTTGAAATCCAGAACAACCTTACAGCCAACCTGCGGTTTCACTTTCGTTCAGGGTTTCCAGCGTACGGATAATTTTACATTTCTATATGCTGTTGAAAATATATCTTATCGGGCTCACAAAATTTTAAAATGGATTTGGGTCACGTTGTCCGTTAAGAGAGCAGCATTAATAAATGTTCTGACGTGATGCTGTTTGGCTGAACAGTTAGGGGCATCGAAGAAACTTATAATTGAAAATTTCTCTAAGGCAGAACGAAACTCTTACTTCAAGAACAAACTTTAAAGAAGATGTAATTTGCCACCAAACGAGTACAAAAATGATAGTTTGTAGGTGTTATCTACTAATTATGTTTGAAATTACACGGGTATCCAAATTCAATGCGAAAAATGCATACTACATAAGTAGATATTTTTACGGAGTGCCATTAATACGGGCGGCCGCCATTCTGATGTAACTGAAATACCTAGAGATTATGCCGTAGGATAATTAAACTTTCGACCCTACTTAAATCGCCTTTTGAGCTGAATACACATTTCAGAACTTTTTTATCACTTCATGCGTCAGCACATTTCCTAGCCTCTTTACGATTGCCTGAAAGGGTTCTAGATTGAGCTCCGCGACAAAACGCGACAAGCATGTCCGTAACCAAATTACTGAACGCCCTATCTGCAATAGTGACCGAATTTTCCCCAAACAATATTTTGAGTGCGAAAGTATTAACTGAGCTTCTGCTTGGGGCTTCAGACGCCCTCACAATTTGGAGAAATTTAGACTATCACAGGAATATCGCGCAGAAACCTGAGTATTCCCGTATCAGCCACAATATTTGGGAATTGTGGAAATCGTGCCTTTACTTCTCTACCTAATTATAGGAGGCGCGAACAAAAATTCATTTCTGTTATTCGGAAAATCCCATTCAGTTAAACAAGGGCTTTTTAATTTATAAGAATCGCACTACGTTTTGTAATTTAGAAATCAATATATCAATTTTTTCAAGTAGTATCGGCCATGTCAGAACATCAGGCGTTCGAATTCACAATCTCAAACGCTTCGCGAAGTATGCGTAGCTTTTGGCATTGTGATTGGTGTAAAACTCTACGTCACGTGAATTGATTGGTAGTTGATCGACTGCCTGTCTTAAGTGCTGACGCGCATGAGCGCTTCAATTCTCGCAAGCTGTGAGGACCACATTCCCTACTGCTCTCTCTCTCTCTCTCTCTCTCTCTCTCTCTTGCATGCCAGGCAACAAAAATAAAACATAGCGGGACACCGCATACCCCCTACAATTAGAACTCTGAAAATTCCCAATCGCAGCCGTCAGAGCTTAGGTCGGTAGAATGTTACTATTGACAAAACCGAAGGAAACTGGAATGGCCATTTCCGGTTCATTAACCGTCTTCAACCATTCTGGCTGATTGATAACAGCTTATCGGTCAAAAGAGTCACCGTAGTTCCCCGTGCTTTTGCTAATAGTAGGGTTTAATTGACTAAAAAATAACCACAGTCGTGTCAACTCACCAGACTGAGTTGTGCACAGGCCTCGCGAGTTTCGTCTAGAGCGGAGGAGAGTGTCATCTGGTTGTCTAACAGACTTGAAATCATAGTCCGTAGGTAGGCAACGTGTTCTGCATTGGCTGCATCCACTTGAGCGGCGAAGGGATCAGTGAGACGGGCGGTCGGCGACTTAACTGACTGAGCGACTTCCGCTGAGCCATCAACATTCAGACCCAGGGAGTTAGGTCTGGCGGCAGTTTCGGGCGGGACAACTTTCGGCGCTGAGATGGTCGGTTTAGGTCTCTCGTCGGCGACCGACGCCATACTTGAAGGGCCGGTTAAGTTATCTCTCTGTAGGCGGAAACAAGGCAAGCTTAATTCAATTCCCCTAGGGAAGGTGAGTAACACCTACAGTTCACTGCCAAGTAGGAGGGGGGAAAACAATGTGAACGGGCAGGAAAGAGATGCTGAAATTCTGAGGGAACGTCCCGCGCGCATTCAGTTCCCTCCCATGTGACCTTATTTTCAGTGCTCTGTTAGGGTTTGATGCAATCCTGGGAGGCGTTTTTGTATCCACCGCGGCAACCCAAAGAACTGCACAAAAAGATTAGCTTCTTTAAAACCAATCCAGAAACGCTAACAGGCCCAGGGTAGGCAGTGCGAACCTCCGCTCCGTAAACACCTAAGACGACTGAGTCTATAAGCAGCATCTAACAGGACAGCCAAGACGTTGGTTTCAAAATGCACAGATATCAGTGACCTGGGACTTTACGCGTCAAATATTCCAGTTGTTTTACTGTCAATGCTTTTGACCACGGAGATGGTTTCTGAACCGACCCAGAACGGCCAAAAGGATAAAGCTTCCGGATATCCCTCCAACAATGGCCCTAAATGTTCCAACCACGAACAGTCACTAGAATTAGCACGCCCAGGTAGCTTGCTTGAGAGTTGAAGTAAACAGAAGGACTTATAACTACTTATGAATGCCTTCAGCACGGATTTGGACATAGCGATAAACACCCTATTCAGAAGGGATATCTGGCAGTACAGTTGATGGCATCCACCCACCCGCCTCCCACAACCTCCCCAGCTTCCGTTTCCTTTACAAATGTCCCCTCTACTTCTTGAGGGTACAGTCTCTTCTGCTGCATCAGCAGCTAGATGCCCAAGCGCCTTCCAACACCTCGTTTCATGACCGACAGGCCGTCCGCCCTATCAATCGCTTCAAAGAACATTTCTCGTACTTTGAATTGGCCGAATTAATGGCATTTGGTTTCTTTGACCTCCCATCTTCATTCCGATGTGCAAGGTCTCCATCTTCCAGGGGGAGATGAGGGGTCAGAGCGTGCAAAATGTGGTCTAATGAGATTTAATCGTCGTCAGTGACCGCGGTTCTCAAGTTTCCACATTTCTTTCACACTACAGGTGTCTTAAAGTATTTTGATTAAGACAAATCCAAAGGGCCAATGGAGAAGAATTATCTTTTTTGATTTCAGTACAAAGAAGTATGCTGCTTATTATAAAACAGCGTTTATTTGGATGTGTGCTAGTAAAAATAAATCGGCGGGGTTTGGTTCTGCAGCCCCACTTGTTTGATACCAAATGCTTTGATTACTAAATCAATTGTAGTTAAAATGCCTAACTAAGACACTCGTTTAATTATGAAGGGAAAGAGTGCGCAAGCAGGGGTCGGAGCACGCGCAGTGACGGTGGCGTGTACACACTCTCCCCTGGCACAGCCACTCGCTGGATTAAGAGAGTATCGGGTGTGCAATCACAATTGGAAGGCCGCTGTGGGAACCACATGGTAATTCGCAGTGCATGACCACTGTGGTGGAACCGACGGAGTTCTATACCGTCGGAGCAATTCCATTAGCAAGTCTACTTAGTCACTCGCTGGGTTAGGATAATGAAGGGAGCGTAATCACAGCTCGGACCACGCGGAGGGAGGCGCGTGTGAACTGATACCTGATGCAACCGATACTGACGTATAAGCACCCCCCCCCCACCCCGTGGAACAGTCACTCGCCGGAGTAAAATAGTGAGGAAGACTCAAATACGCTATATTTATAAAGTCAGCATATTTGTATCTAATTTTTTTTAGAAAGTTAACTATATGGTGTCACTCGGTGAGGCTGTAGGACCAAACCTCGCCAATGAATTTTTTAAGCCTCAGAAGGCAAAACCCATGGACAAATATAAAGCGAAAATAACCTTCGCAAAGAATGCATAACAAAGCGAGAAACATGTTGAGAACCTAGAATTGGACATTTCTGAGGTACGTTTATTTCCGAGTTTTTATCTGTGTCGCTTACAAAATCGTGTACCCTCTGCTTTGCCCTGAGGTGCTGATTTCAGCTCTCCAAGTCGGTGCCATGGCAACGGGTAATCAATGAGTGAGGGCGCTCTGCACGTGATGCGACCCTACTTTTGTCCCCTATTTACCTTTAACAGTCACGAACGGGACAGTCGCATGCGAGAAGTCTCTGGGAGTTTAACCCTAGTTGACGTCACTAAGGTCTGGCGATCTGTCATTGAAAACACAGTTCTAGACTCTCGCCTGAAGTCGGAAATATCTATGCTCACGTGGGAACAGTGCACACTAGTCCGTGTGTCTTGGAAATCAGACCATAGATGCTCAACTAGCGAAGAGAGATCAGAAAGGGGAGGACATCTATCGAAGGAAGCAGACTTGCTATTTTCCTGCCAGGTATCCACTTCTGACTGCAACGATCACTCTCTTCCTGCAGTCAACTTCTGTACCCGCTTTTATCTGCAGGTCCAGACGAGCACCATTACATGGGTTGTTAGAACAGCACTTCCCTAAGTAACAAGCAGCAACTGAAATCGTCTCCGACCTTGTCTTCAACTCTGCATACACATCAAGTACCCTCTCCCTACAAATGCTAACCGTCATTTTAATTTCAAGTTATAGAGCAATGTTGCCCCCTATCTGACATTTGCGCTAGATCATCTGCAAAGTCCATAAATCAGGGCTCCGAAGTAAAATACGGTATGTTATCTTCTAAAGCTAAAATGTAGTACTAGCTGCATGTCGGCAGTTAATGAATATTAAGTGATTATCCCGCTGTGACTGGTGGAATTCGGCCAAAATATTCTTACGTCAAACTTCGGTCTGCGCCTATAGACCTTAGTATAAACTGATCTACTTCAAGATAGCAGCTAATTTCTGGGGACATTAAAGAGCAAAAACTTCTTAACTGGAGTATCAACCAGAAAACACACGGGGAATGCTGGGGGATCCACTAATGAGCTGAACCCACTCGCAGCTGTGCCATGCAGCCGCAGAATATCGTCGAAACGCGCGCGTCTGGGTTTTTGGCTACTACTTGTGCTACCAGTATGGTATCTTCTCACGCTAAAATGTAATATCATGCGATCAGGCCGCGCTGCAAACAAAAGTCGATATGTCCGGTCGCAACTTTTAGGGCGTCAGCTAAGTAATAAAATAACGGAACCCTACTACTGATGATCAACAGGAGCGCTTTTATTTGTAATGTCTACTGTTAGTGTGATACGGACGAAGCTGGGCTGTGAGCAAGTCGTTAATGCCTATCCCGGCCCTCCCTGTGCCCAGCCACAATATTTTTTCAAGCTGAAGATTTCCTTACCGTTGTAACGACAAGGCACACCTTTCCTTAAATTATGCAACGCATCTTCCAACCCATTACTTGCACATACATACTCTCCGCGCACATCATTCACCCTAGCTTTAGTTTCCACAGAATATGGGCGTACCCCCGATTAGGCCGCCGTTCTTCCACCGGGATGTAATAAATGAATTACGATAAAACGCTTACGCTAACGCAGATGGATGCACTTGCCGTAGTACATCGTTTCAACATCACGCAAACCGTCTATGCTTATGTTCACAGTTTTGTCCTCTGAATCTACTATAACTGAGAGGATTCGGTCAGCTGTGTGGGGAAGCAACGGCCAAAAATGTTTGATTTTAGCTTCCAGTGCTTATAAAGGTAACCAAATCCCAACTGAAGGCTATCGAATTCTTCCATGCTCGAAGGTATTATTCGGTAGCATAAATCTGCCTTTTAACAGGCGTAACTCATATCCTAAAATCGACAACCAAATCGTGGGAGGCTTCACCCTCTGTAGAAGAGAATGCGCCTTTGTCCAAACTGTTGATAGCCCGCAGGTTCGTGTAGCATGATTTCGATCAGTCTCGCGAGACGTTTTGTATGTGAGCAGGCAGACAAGTTTTTGCTTAATTGCGATGCAATGCAAGGAAAGTCCTCTGACGTGTGGTGCCTAAATAAATAACAGTAGGGAATGGGTATTTGTAGAATCCGAAATGTTCCCCCAAATGTGTTTTCAATAACACACTAAAACAAACGTGCAGCTCATATGCCACTTGTATACATCTAAGAACAGCAGGTTTCTTCTTCTGTAATGCCCCACCCATCATCACTTCGTATTATGGGTGGGCTTGCGCCATAAATCAGAAAGTACAAATGCCTGTTTCGGACCTAATTTACTGTCAGCATATGGGTGCTGGATGCTTCCGCCTTCGTATTCATAAACTACACTGTTAGAGTTGGATAGAATGTTTATACTTTGCCATCTACTCAAGTCACACAGGGACGGATTGCAGAAGAAACGGTAGAAAAGTACTCAGTGAGATCAACCTGTCATTATTCTCTCTCTCTAGACGTCGGTCGGTGTTGTTCCTCGTTTAGGGTAAGGATTAAGTTGTACTATCAGTTTGCACTTTCAAAGTCATGCTCTTGCAGTTTTGTCTGTCCCGGAGATGAACGACGTGAGTGGCAGCAAGTTAACCTAACCGGAGGCATATTTCCAAATTTAAGGACAACCAGAATTTTCTGTATGAACAGACAACGTTTTCACTCTAAAGTCGACAGTCCTTCGACTGCTATTCAATTGGGCCCCGCCGACCTTCAGCTGACCAATCCAAGTGCGCATGGGTTGACTAAGAAGGTGAATCGAGCCAACTCACCACTTGGACGAGCAGTAAGAAAGTACCGCATTCAGTGATTGGGTACTTGCTCGAAAAACAAACGTCACGTGTTCACGACGCCGGTCACCAAACGTTCAGCCTCGTCATCGCTTTTTGCTGCCAGGTGGATAAAAGCATGAATCACAGCAACTCAGTCAGCCAACACGGATGATTCAGGTATGAGTTCAGTGACCCCAGCGATCGGATATCGCTGAAAGCAGGTTTTCTGAAGCGACTAATTGTAGCTGCCAGATTTTCATACAGCTCAAATTTTAAAAGCTTTGAGAACGAAAGATTGATACTCATTTGTATATTCCCGATCGAAAACCGACAAGGCAACAAGCTCGTGGCCCGGTGGGTAGAGGCGTGGACTTCTAAACCAACAGGTTGCGAGTTCGAGGCTTGGGTATGGCTGGCTGACGACGGCTAATAAGCCAGAAATGGCCATTCCAGTCTTCCTTGTCTTTGTCGGTAATACCATTTCTGATTGATAATCCGTCACTTAAAATAAAGTGGCCCATCTCATAAAATATTAACCAAAATTCTGAAATACGTATTCGATTAGGAAGCTTCGCGTAAGTCTTCTTTTAATACTGGTCATCTGGCGTCAAGATGCCATGATGTTTAAAACACGCCAAGATACTGGCTTCCACATGCACTTTCTAAATTACATACAATATGCACGCTCAAGAAAAAGGCTACTACTTAACTGGTACGCATTTTTTTATTGACTTTCGACTTCCTTATGGATTCGAATATATTTTTTAGAAGGCGTACATAAAAATGTTCTTTCTTTTACTCGTTTTTTGCCAACCAGGTCTTCCACAAATCTTATAATCAATGAAAGGGATATTTTTTGAAAACGGGATTTTAGTTCTAGAACGATCTTGATTGCGGTTTGCCGTTGCATTTCCATTAAGGATTTTTGCCTGCCAGTTGCACACCTTCCGTGTAAGAAAAAACATACATTCCTTTTTGCCATTAAGTAGACGCTATGTAGGGTACATAAAATTTTGCAAAGGATGAAAAGCACTGTAAAACAGACAAATAAGATGCCGCTTGAGTCCACACTGCACGACCTTAATCGCATGAGTAGAAACTTTTTAAAACCTAACGATATCAATTTTTGACTAAGAAATTTGAAGGAGACATGATTTGATACCAAATGAGCACATGGACGAATATTTTTGCTTTTATTTCCCATAAAACTGATTCGAATTTATAAGGGCATCAAAAATCAATAGAAAAAAGAGGCACTGGTCAAGCAGTAATTTTTTACCGAGTGCGGGTAGTGCATGCGGCCGAAAAAGAGCGCATTTAAGAGGCAAAGCCCTGGCGTGTCTGAAACATTACGGCTTTATGCGTCAAGATGGTCAGTATTACAACCCTTCTCAAGTAATTCTTTTCAATCTATTATGCATTTCAGAAATTTGGTATGCTTTAATCGGGCCACTTAATAAAAACGTCGAAATTGCAGCATATGCAACTCTGCTGGGAGGGTTTTTGAGGGCAGAAGGAATTTTTAAATCTGCCTGTCAAAAGGGAAACTGGTAAATGAAAACTTTACGAATACGTACCCCAACTTTAAAAATTACCAGTTTTATATCGTTTTCCCCTTCGCGTATGGGAATTTCGTAAAATACAATTTAAATGAGCATCGAATGAAGACTCTACTATACCAAGGCAAACTGTAGACCGACCCACAGTAGTTAAGTTCTATTTGGATCAATCCCAACAATACAAAGGGATTTCTTGAAGTCACTGTTAAAGCCTCGCCCGACTTGCGTTTCACGAATATGTAAAACTTTAGGACAGGATCTCCGCCCTCTACATTTTTACTAGACATATTCTCGGGGTTGGACAATGACATCTCCTCTGGAATTCACAGACGAATTTGCTGAAGCCTCAGTAGGTCAATCTGCGCTCCCTGGTGGCCGACGCGACCTGCCTGAATCAGGTTTGAAAGCAAGCCTGACACTGTCAGATTTGGAATTTTGTTTCAACAGTTTCGGTCCTAATACAACTGAACTCTGGTTTGGCGAACGAGAGACTTTGTGAGGTGGAAAGGTCACTTTGAAGGAACCCTATTGGCGTGGAACTGTCCAACAACACTGGGAATAATATCCGGTTTAGACCGTGAGCCACGCCTTTTGAACGTCAAGACTGGACCGGGATTGCAGGCAGGGGGGGAGTGGCGTGTTGAAAGTCATAAATCCAGTGCGTTAGGTAAGAAAGACGTCACAATCGCCAAACCGGAAATCGGCTTCCCACTGGTAGTCTAACAGATGCAAGAAGGAGCTAGCGGAGGACAAACACACTGCGCAGACTAGGCGTGGTGGATGTTATTTCACGCACCATTTGATACTTCATCATGTCTCAGAGGTTTTATTCCAGAGAGGCCTTTCCGAGAGAGGGACGATTGGCTTGCAACCAGAAAGGACCCAACATGACCTTGTAAGCTTACTATGCACACAAAGGAACAGCTCACAAACTCTAGACGCATGATTTAAACTTTATTATTCAAATGCGATTTCTTCTGACAAAATTTTTAAAGAACTCAACGCAGCAGGAGCTATTAGCGTCAATGAGCTGTTTCGGTAGCTGCCTAAGTTGCCCTCTGTCCTCGTCCAGTATACTGACACTCACAGGCTAATGTGAGTTCATTGACAGAGCTTGAGATGGCGCAACGGTGCCCTACTTGGAAGGATTTCCGTGGCTCATCGTAACTATCGTTTGAAAGCGTTGAAAAAATTTCCGCCTCCAAACGGGGAGGATCTGATCGCAAGCTTTTTTCGAAGTGACCTTTCCGTCAATTTGGAAAAAGATGCGATCACTGGAACAAGAGGTTTGTTGGTGTGACGTCTCCAATTTCCCCCTCGAACCCATCATCACAAACAGTCGCAGAAAATGGTGCTGGGAGGACAAGAAGCGCAGTACTTATGGGACAGGACTGGCAGGCTGTTATATTATCGAATACGATCCCAAGCGATGAACACTGGTTCTGTTAATTGTTTTTGATACGTGGTCGCATGGCAACTGCGTCCTATAACTATTGAACTCTTTGTACTCCCATCACCCTTATCTGCTGATGCGTTTAAGGGGGGATCTGAAACGTCAGGCCAATAAAGCTTTTTCGTCCCCGGATTCATCTTATTCATTTTTAGCGGTGTCGCATCAGTCTCCATTCCCGGAATTAACTAAATAGAAGCCTAAACGACAGAGTTTAGTGGTAAAAAAAATCCTGAACTGATTTAGCAACTTCTACCTGTCGCAGTAAACTACATATGTTTAAAAGTCAGTATAAAAACAGCAGGGTCATAGGAAGGAAGAAACAGTCCTGAAATCAACCCTAAACCTAATACCAACCAATATTACAATTAATGAGAGAAAAATACGTACACACAGAACAGACGACTCAGGATTTGTGCGATCAAGAGCAATTCCGTCGAAAAGTGGCCATTTAATCTGTTTCATTCGGTTTCATTAGGTTTTCAGACCTAATCAAACGATAGTTACGATGCGTCGTTGAAGCCATCTGCAGTAAAGCTAAGTGCATATATACAATAGGTGGGCTAACTCATGAAATGTCAACCGAAATTACGAAATGCGTTTTCGCTTCGAAAGAATTTTTTAAGCAGGGCTGTAAAACTATTCAGCCTGCAACATAATTCTATAATGCTTCAGTTACCTTAGGATACCCGCTTTCGAACGAACTTCCTGCCGGCTGCATATATAAACTATACTCTGTAAAAAGGACTACTTATGTAGCAGGCATGTTTTCATTGATTTTCGATGCCCCCAAAATGCCCCGTTATATTTGATGAAAAACGTGAATAAAAATATTCATTCCTCCGCTCATTCGGCAGAAAATTACGTCTTCTGACAATTTTATACTCGAAGGCGGGGTACTATTAGGTTTTCAATAACTTTTCTAATTCCCTAATAATTTTTAACCCTACCTGCCGTTACACTTGCATTCAGCGTTTTCAGACTACTAGCTGTTTACTTTCCGAGTGTGGAAAGCCATATATTTCTCTATGGTATTGGTAGGAGACCATATAGTCTTCTTAAAATTTAGCATTGAATTTGATCCTTATTCTTAACTTTACAAGGCACATTGGTAAATGCAGAGGCATGAAGTTTTGTGTACGGTGATTGCACTGTATCTAAAAGTCTCACAATTAGAAACTTTTTAAAATCCAATTATGTCCCTCCTTCAAGTATAAAATTGAAAGAAAACGTAAGTTTCTATCGACTGAGCGAAAGAAGGCATGTTTTTTTCCATGTTTTAGATGAAATATAATTGGACATTTAGGGACAGCAAAACTCAATAACAAAAATGCATAATGATAAAGTAGCCATTGTAACGGAATTATTTTAGAGTTATACTGCAGACTGACTAGTTTTACAACCCTACTTAATCAATCTTTTCGAAACGAAAACGCATTTCAGAATTTCGGTTGACATTTCACGAGTTAGCCCACCCACTGTAGCAGTCTTATGAAAATCCATTCCAGTAGGTAAAGTGATATTACAGGACTTTCTGCGCATGCTACGTCAAACTGCGTTTGCCCGTGAATGATCTCTGTCATGAACTGTTGACGGAAATTCTGAAGTTTATTCTCCAATAGGAAGAATTACTTAGGAGGAAATGTAATACTGATTATCATGCCACAAATTCTGAAGATATCTCAGTAACTCCAATTTGCCGGCTGGCTTCTTTGCGGCGTCCACAAAAACCACACTCTTTAAAGTGGGATTAGCTAATTAGTAGCATTTTTCTGTCGAATTTTCTATGTATTAATAAACTGATACATGTGTTTTAGAAAACGCGTTCAGGAATACTTTCCTTTTACTCAATTGGCAGTAGATCACGCCAGCCCTAAGAACTTTCTCTTTTGACTTTAATAAAGTTTTTCAAGTCTCGAATAAATTTGAACTAAGCCTACAATTACACTATACTTCCTATAAAATGATCTGCTACCATATGAGAACAGGAAAGGCTATTTTGTGTTTATGTTTCCTAATTTGCACAGATAAGGAACGGAAAATCATACTTCTGAGGCGGTCGCATTTAAAAAAAATACGATTTTTGCAGACTGCCGGAAAGAAGAGCATTTAAAAGCCGGCATTCATGCTCTAACTGAAAAATTTGCTCGCTGCAGGCTACTTGGTATTACGAGCTAACTTAATTTATCCCTTCAAATCAAAATGCATTCCAGGATATATGTTGACCTTTCGCGAGATAAGTCCTTTATTGTGCCTGTGAGTGTCAATATGAGGTTTGCTCAAGAAGGAAGAATTACTTATTTACAGTTTTTATTAAAGAGAACACCTTAAGAACATTAGTCTCCCTCAAAATACTGTCCGTTAAGTGATATGCATTTGTCCCATCTGGTTTTCTGCTGTTCGGAACGTTTTAACATGCTTCTGAACTAATGCTGTTTAGTGTCTCAAGCGATTTTTCTCAGACTCTTCTGTGTCGTGTAAACACTTGTCTCCTAGGTTTTTCTTCAGTTTTGGAATAATAAGAAGTCACATAGGACTAGGTCGAACGAGTAAGCGAGGTTACAAAGCGTTGTCATGCCATTTTTCACCAAAAACTGATTGGTTTTGAATGCTGTATGGGCTGGCGCAGCCAATCCCCTCATCGCCACAATTCGGATCACGTTTTTCCGCAATTGCTTCAGCACGTGCAATTAGTAAGGTTGGCTCAAGTTGGTGCCATGAGAAACAAATCCAACGTGAGCGACTCCTTTGATGTATCCTCTTGAAAGACTATAATCTCTGCTTTCGTAAAATAGCGTAGTCCGAATAAATTTGAAAGCCCTTATGCTTGTCATTGTCAAATAGGAGAATTAAACTAAAATTCCACGGAGAACTGCAAGAAAGCAAAGTGCATATCCACGAGATGGTGATGCGCCATCAGAATTTAAAACATTTAGCGTTACTCCTAAGACCTACTCTTAGTCGTTCGAACTGTTCTGTTCTCCCCTCCCATGGTAACATGCCTTTTATGGTTCACAGCCATTCCGACATGCCGTAGTGACGTCAGTGGAAACCTCCCCTTTTTAATGAGTCCGTTTAGACGAAACGGTGTCTTATTAGTCGGACAATCGGGATGCCCGACATCGTCCGCCTTTAGTTGATTGCATCAAATAAAAGCAGTCTGGCTACCTTCAGATTTGTTTTATTCCGTACTCTACATAAAAGGCAGTCTTTAACAAATTCGTGCGAGATTTGGGCTCACTTAATAGCCTCCGCAGAGGATAAGGACAGATAACGGACGACAGCTTGAGGGTCAGGCGAGGTTACATACGACTGCAATATCCAGCAGGTTAGAACTTGGGCAGCAATGTTATGTTGCTCAGTTTTACATCCTAAGTGAAATTTTTAACAGGACCGAAATATAACCACCCACTTGATACACACGCTTGCATAGTTGGATAGACGTTTATATTTGATTATTAGACTCAGAAGTGATACTTTCGACAGTATGTTCACCAAATGTATTTCCCCTAACTAAGGGGGTTCAATCGATGTTCTGCTATCTATCTTGAAGATGATATATCTGAAAGTATGCCCACCTTACTCATTTGCTTGGTGACAGTTCACGCCGTGAAGTCGTAGAAAAAAAACGTGGTACCTTCATGCGACAACATAGGGGAGATCTACCTCTACTGCTGTGGTATAATGCTTAATCATAACGACGTATGGGTCTATGGGCGAGTTCCAATGTCTTAGTTAGAATGACTCAGACAAGCATAGGAAAAAAAACATTCAACAATGACGTTTTCGCGTCCATCGGATACGGTTCGGTTCGAAGGTTGATGTGTGGATTGGAGGGGGATGGTTATACTTCGACCTAATGCTCAACTAACTAAATCAGTCGAATGCAATGCCGGTAATAGGCATTGGGCGATCGGGTTGTTTTTTTTTAAATGCAAGTCACTGTCTGGGTTACGACCCGAGTCGTGTAATTGAGGCGTCCCAGTCAGTACAGACCCGTCTCCTGAGAGACTACTGACGTTTATTCGAATTTGTCCGCCTGGCCACGTCAATTGGCGCTGTTTACAACAGCGAAGTCTGTCCCTGTGAGCATACGTTTCTTTTAGAGAATCTTTTTAAAGGGTATGCAGAATTGGTCTGGTGCGTTATTATTCCCAAAGAAATTTCTGGAGCCGACTTTTCGACTTGACGTGCTTCGAGAAACTGCGAGTGTTCTTCAGTCTCCGAGTGTTTATATCCCTTAATCGAGAAGAACTTTAAACTTTCGGGGCGGTTTGCCGTGTGCTGTTCAATCGTTCTGGAAGGAATTCATGAGAGAGCATGAAATAGTAAATAAATTCTTGGTAAAACCGGATTACATTGAAGTGGCGCAAGTCTCTCCCGCGAATTAGTGCCTTTTTCAACTTCCAAGCTTGCAAGGATGAGTCCAGACAGACCGCAACGGGTGATTATCCGCAACTATGGCGCCTTCAGTATGTTTGCTTCATGAATCAAATTGAACCTCACCTCAGTCACTAAACGTGGAACGAAATTTACGACTCAAAACAGTTGACTGCCAATCCCGCGTGCAATTCGTAAACATTTCCCTGACGGACTGACAGTACTGGTGGCATACGCATGTAGTCAATGTAAACAGTAGTCACTATCGAAACGCAGATTCCAATAGGCGTCTGTTCATTTATCCTCCACTTTTGTACCCTTCTTCACGTGGTGTTACCAGGGGGCGGCTTTTTGAAAAAAAGAAGTTGGGAACCGCTGCGGTACATACTAGTTCGCAAACCCACGCTCTGTCAGAGGGGAGAGATTTTAGGTGTGACTGTTGGATGCTTCAGGTGGCCAAATACATGTATATGTTAGATTTATAGATATAGATAAATGCAGGCGTCACCATGGCGACCGTCATCTCCCACTCCCACTCTGATACCAGCATGTCCGACCTTAAAACTGATGGTGTGCAAATATGGACGCCAGCATTTAGACTCTGCGCCTAGCTTTCTTGTACCACCGAAGTCGGTTTAAGTAACTTGCAGCTTCTTCCTCCCCCACCCCGCCTCAGAACGGTGCCTGAAACACACCGTAAAATAGGGGGTCAACACTGGCTCCGACTGAACCGCCAATCATTACCGTATGTGCTTGTGGCATACCTAGACGAGACATTTCTCTCTAGGTCCGACAGTGTGCGTTGGAGGACGACAGAGAGAGAGAGAGAAAGACTGATTTTTCGTGTACTTAGGTGTACAGATGCTGTCCTCTTTTAACCAACCAGAACAGTATGGGCGAGTAAAAAGTGGTAGAAAGCAGGATGCACGAATCTACAACACATCGTGTAAACGATACTGAAAGTTGGATATAATACACCACAAGCCGAGTTTTGGTCCTACAGCCCCACCTGATTAATACCATATGGTTGGTTTCCTAAAAAAATTCCAGGAGGTACGATTACACTGACATGGAGTGAGTGAACGATCTCAAGGACTGTTGGACGAAATTTAAAATGTGATTTCGATTATGAAGGATAACTTAGATGGGATTGCAATCTTCATTATCTTGCGGCATAATTCAATAATACTTCAGACTTGCCTGGATGTCGGCTCTTGAATGCACTTCTTTTGAACCTCCTATAGCAACCTCACTTGGTAACAAGTGGCTACTTAATTAGCCCACATTTTTCACATTGATTGTAATTGGCCTTATAAATTCCAATGTATTTTATAAAAAACATGCACAAAACATGCTTTCTTTTACTCTTTTGGTAGAAACTCCTGTTGTCTTTAAGTGTTATACCCAAAAGGAGGGTAGATTTAGACCCTGAAAAGGCTTTCCAATTTCCAGATAATTTTGAGCTTAATCAGCCGTTGCATCAGCGTAAATCGATGTCAGTCCACGAGGTGCATATTTTATGCGTAAAGAAAATCACATAGTCCTTTGTTCCTTTATAAATATACCATAGAGAGTTCATAAAATTTTACAGTTGGTGCGGACCACGTTGTGCATTTCATGAAAAAGCCTCTTAACAAAAACCTTTTAACGCCGTGGGACACCCTTCCTTTGGGTATAAAATTTGAAGACAGCATGATTTTCTACAAAAGATTAAAATAAAGCATATTTTGTGCATGTTTTCTATAAAATATATTTGAATTTATAAGACCGTCGAAAATCAATGTGAAAAATGCATGCTAATTAAGCAGTCACTTTTTTACCAAGTGAGGTTACTAAAGGTCGAAAAAGTGTATTCAGAAGTCGACATCCAGGCGAGTCTGAAGTATTATAGAATTAGGCCTCAAGATAATAAATATTACAACCCCATCTAAGTAATACTTCCTAATCGAAATCGCATTTCAGAATTTCGTCCAACATTTCCTGAGAACGGTCACTCACTGTACATCATGTGTCTGCGCCTTCCTCACTATTTTAATCCAGCGAATGACTGTACCACCGGGTGGAGGGGTGCTTATATGCCAGCCTCGGTTACGTCAATAAATAAATAATAAATAATTTTTATTAAAGACCCGTCGGGGTCCCATCAGTTATTACTTCATGCGCGCTTGCCTGCACCTCTTTCGAGCCCTGCCTGCGCCCTCCCAATCCATCGATAGACTAAGTAGACTTGTAAATAGCATTTTTCGGGCGGAATGGAACTCCGTCGGTTCCGCTATGGGGGCCATGCACTGTGAACGCGGTTCCCTCCGTGGCCTCCTAGCCGCGACTGCGCCCTTCCTATCCCCTCCTTCCAGTGACGCTTCCGCGCTTTCATAACTAGATGGAATGTAATCTACTTCTTTTGCGAAAACAAACTGGAACGACTGCGAAAAATGTTCAACGCTTGCTAGCACCGTCAGATGTCTGGTACCCTCATCATTCCTGGGGGACCGGATTCCTGGTACGTGTGCTCTTTTGCAAGTAGTTGTAGAGGGAGTTAGCGCGAGGACGCCATATGCCACCTCAAAATTTATTGGAATGGTTAATTACCTTCGCGCTATCCTTTCCACCGTCCAGCCACACCCATAAAACTCGCATTACACGATGACCTGGTTGTTGTTACTTAGATGGAATCGCATACTGCGCTCTTGCCTGAGATTTAAACCAGGATAATATTGGTCATGGCACCTAGCGCCCACGTAACATTGACTAGCTTGGGAAAAGGTAAAAGTTATGTGGAAGTGGCTTGATTTCAGGCTGGTATATGCCGTACCCGACGCATAAAATTTAGCCTGCCTATTGGCAGTTGGCTGGTTTTGACCTTTCCGATGTCGGCCCCTGGTGGGCTCGCGTGACCTGTGTCCCGCCTCACCGTTGGCGTGGTTGGCGCTATGTCAGTGTGCTTATCGGATTTCCTCCCCCCCCCCCTGCCCTCGTCAGACTGATCAGTCGGCGCTGTTCCCGCGTGCTGACTTTGCCCTCGTGGGCGCATAGGTCACGTGACTTCCGGTCGGCGCCTCTTCTCGGCGGGCGTCGGCTGTCGACCCCGCCTGACTTTTCTCGCCCTGTCTGTCCGACCTGAACCGAGCTCTGTTTGCGGAGAGCGATAACAGAAGGTGGGACCACGACCTGTCCAGTTATCGACTGAGCCCCCGGGGTTCTAGCGTCGAGTGTGTCCGTGTCTGGAGCCGAGTTCTACTGACTGGCAATGGCTGGCAGGTCAAAAATGTCCGTTTTAGCGTAGCCCGTCGGTTGTTGAAGGCCACATGGTGGCCTGCGTGGGCCTCGCACCATAAGCTTTTGGATAAAACAGAAATTTCAATTTCTCCTCTGAAATCACAACTGATCGCGGACGGAAACTTTCCTCCGTTTGTGTAGTTGGTCATGTTTGCGCGGGGGACTCGTGTTCGTGCGCACGCTGATGGGTGGATGGAAGTTGGATGCACCACTCCCCCAACAGAGTGCATCAACACAGTTTATGTGAAGGACAAATGTCAACATTAGAATGTGGCGGCTAGAATACACGCAGGCTAACGCCGTGCGAACTGGAATCCGTGCCATCAATGTCCTTTATGGGCCAGTGGGTGTGGTAGTACATTTAGGCGCGGGTTTTCGCCCCGCCAACTACCTCCGCCCTCGCCCGCCTTTGGTCTTCTTGATTCTGTCATGACAGGGGACCCAGGTGTGGGAGGAGGAGGAGGAGGAGAGAGTGCGGTAGATGCTGCACAAGTCTACAATCACTTTAACTCACAAGCAAGTTACCTTCCCCTCGCTAACCCTGCTGTGGAACACATGATAAACATCGTCGGTAAAGAGGATCGAATTGACAATATTGGGTTATAGCATCTTCTGAAATACGCGGCAATGTTGTAATAGACCTACAGTAGGTGGGCTAACTCCTGAAATGTCAACCGAAATTCCGAAATACGTTTTCGTTTCCAAAAGATTAATTAAGTGGAGTTGTAAAACTAATTATCGAGAAGCATAATTCTATAATAATTCAATCTCCTCAGGATGCTGGCTTTGGAACGAACTTCCTTCCGGCTGCATGCAAGAACGATACTCTGCAAGAAATGACTACTTCGGTAGCATGGATTTTCTCATTGATTCCCGAAGTCCTTAAAGATTCAATTATATTTCATGGAAATCATGCATAAATATATTCATACTTTTGCTCATTCGGTAGAAAATTACGTCTTCTCTCAACATTATACTAGAAGGAGGGAAATAATTCGGCTTTAAAAATTTTCTAATTGTGAGAATTTTAACTACCGCGAAATGGCCGTTCATAAAACGTCATGCCTCTGCGTTTGCCAATATGGTTTGTAAAGAAAACAATATGGCTCAAATTTAATGCTAACTTTTATGAACCCTATATGGTCGCCCTTTAGTAGCATAGAGGAATGTGTGGTTTTTCGTACGAGGAAAATTCATGGTTTTTAGTTTGGAAACCCTAAATGCAAGTTAGACGGCAGAGCGGGTTCCAAATTATTCGGGAATTAGAAAAGTTTTTTTGGAAACCGAATAATACCCACCCTTCGAGTATAAACTTGTAAGACGACGTAATTTTCTACCGAATTAGTGGAAGAATGAATATTTTTATGCATGTTTTTCATTAACTACAATTAGACTTTTAGGGACATCGAAAATCAATGAGAAAAATGCATGCTGCAAAGTAGTTGTTTTTTACAGTGTATAGTTTTTGCATGCAGCCGGGAGGAAGTTCATTCGAAAGCCGGTATTCTGAGGCAACTGAATTATTATAGAATTATACTGCAAGCTGACTAGTTTTACAACCCTACATAATTAATCTTTTCGAAACAAAAACTTAATTCGGAATTTCGGTTCAAATTTCATGAGTTAGCCCACCTACTGTAGGTGGCGGCCAGCTGGCGCGTGACATGCGCAGGACGGAGGTTTCGTGTTGCCTCAACGTCACTGACTAATCGGCTCGACTCAGTTTTTGCAATGTTGTTTTTGCTGGACACGGTGGGAGAGGTAAAGTGAGGGACCGTGAGATCGACAGTGTGCGACATTTATCTAGTAACTTGACTTTGAGGCGCGCTACCACGGCAGGCAAAAATTCTTTACCCCCTGGGACCGCCAAATTAATAAGACAACTCGGCGCATCCGCGTCAAGTCGCACAGCCGTACGTACAATCCTACTGTGGGTCCATCAAGGGCTTTGCGTCGGAGCACCGCGTGGACCATCCCCACTTTTAGTTCCCTTGACTTTTCTATGCCAGTGGAACAGGACAGTCGTGGAAACGGATGATGCCGAAGGCGTTGCGCAAGTCTCCACCACCAAAAGTTTACCCACGAGCATGTCAGTAACACAGTGGTCCCTGTCGATTCCAACCGAAGAGGTTTACTCATGCATCCAAAACCTAAGTATGCAAATGGGTCAGGTGTGCTTATGCAGCCCCACCTGAAACAAACGAACTCCAACTACCTAAAGTATCGGATCGGTGGAAATAAGGATTATTAGAGGTGGGACGACGAGGCCAAGTAGTTGTATGCAAAAGAAAAGCTATTGGGAATGCGCAGTTGTACTTTGAGCGGTTGAGAAATTGTTGCCAAAACCCCTAACCCCTGACCCCAACCACAACAGTATTGTGTCCACCAGGCGGGGCTACCTGATCACATCTTACCACTAAATGCTGTATAATATTTCCGTGCTAACGACGTAAGTATTAGCTAAAAGCTCAGACATGTGCTTCGTCGATATTCTATCGCAGCATGACACAGCTGCAAGGCATTCGGTGGGCCGACTGATTTACTCCATGTTAGCAGATTAATTTCTGAGAAGATTAAAAGACTGACATTTAAAAAGCGAACTGTCTGACAGAAGGCACGCGTGGAAAGCTGGGGACCCACTGATGAGCCCAGCCCCCCCTGAAGTCGCGTCTTAAAGCGAGAGAACATCGGCAAAAACACGTGTTTGAGCCCTCAGCCGGCACCCAGTCTGTTGGCCTTTGCATACTATTGGCTGCCTGTTGGCAGTTTATGAATACCACACGATTATCCCACTGAAACTGATCAAGTTTGTCTCAGATATTTATAAAAAGTTTCCGACTGAGTCGATAAAACTACATTTCACGGCAGCTAAGTAGACAGCCTATACGTGCCTTGTGGCAAGGGAGACGACCACTGCGTCCTCTTGTTCGGAAACACTCCTGTGGTAGGTTTTAGTCGATTCCGTCAAAGTCGAACGTGCTAGAAAGGACTAGTAGTAACCGAGTCGCCACACCTTCCCCCAACAGTGAGCACTATCGGCGGAAAAAGATGAGCTTTGGTTACCCCATTGCACCCACGCCCAAGGCCTTCCAGCTCGTGAGTAAGCTAGCAGGTGGGCGAGGAATTCATAGATGAGGAGAAAAGAGAGGGGTGTGCATGTATTGCGCAAATTTAATCGGTCGCAACAATGTCCCCTGATAGGCTCAAGTGTCACACTTTAGTACGTTCGGTAAGCACTAAACACCCAGTAAATGGACTCCCATTGTAGCAGTAATTTGCACACAATCAAGCATAACCAGGCGTGCAGTGAGATCTACAGGGAAGAGTTGGTGAGTTTATTGCAAGCAGGGGACTGCTTTTTCTTGGCCCACCAAATAGGCGATTAATCCTGCATTGTCTTCATGACGCAGTTCTGAGTGAGAAAAAAACATGTGCGCTGGAAGCAGTTCACTGCAGTGAAAACGGGGTGGTTTTACACTGAAGACGGATGAAAACTGATCTGCCGCGGAAATCACGGGACCAATGTATGCATTAGCCCGCACTGCTACAAGATGCTACCTCATCGATGGCGCAGATGAAGACTGCATGCAGCGTTTGATTATTCACTTCCGCCTTATGACAAGACTCTTCAGTCGACTGAGGTTGTTGGTTTTTAATATTTGCATCACCTGGTCGTGTGATCTGATAAGATAAATGGATTTAGCAGGCAAACGAAATTCTTTCCGTCGTGTCGCGAGTGTATTACTATTCTTTCTCAAGAAAAAAACTACTGCTACCCAACGTCAGCTGGCCAAAGTGCAAGACTCCTTCTGTTCAGTAGTCAGGTGTATGGCCTAGAAGAATTAGAATCTTCTGCAATGGGTTTGGGTGCCGGGAAGATTTGGTCTGAGTCTTTGCAAATGGTTACGTGGCGAGGAGCGATCAGGAGGATTACGTCAAAAAAGACCACGATTAGAATGAAAAGCGGATCGGTCTTTTTCCCGTCTGCCGTTAGGCCACATCGACTGACGAATCAGACCAGAGTTCTAATCGCCTATTTTCCTCGCTCCAGGTTGAGGTATGGTTTGGGTGCCAGTGATAAGTGAGCCACAAATGATCTTTTCAGTCTGTGCTGCCTTTCCGAAAATTTCTTCTGAGGACAAAACTCAACTGACATTCCGGATCACTTTTATTGTCACGCCAGCCTCGGGGGGTCTTTCCAGCCGTTGGGCTTCCGTTTGAAAGGGCCAGACAGTGTGCCATTAAATCATCTCGCACCAGATACAGCATGCAAGCGCGCACACCGCCCCTGGCAGTCGCAGTTGAGGATTTAACCTCAAAGCCCTTCTTCACAGACCTCGTTTTTCGACGTTTCGATGGTAGGGTCAGTTGCGTTTTCATGCACACACACAGAGAAACAGAAGAACGCACAGAAACTGCGTGTGAGAGAAAACCGTAGGAAATCCGGGTCAAGTCATAGTTGAGTGAGGGCAGTTCGCTGCCACGCAGAAGGAGAGCTAATTTAAGACTGAAAGATGATATGCAGAGTGACATCACCGGCAAAGACAAGGGAGACTGAGATGGCCATTTCTGACTTACTGGTCGTCGTCAGCCAGTGATACCCAACCCCGAAGTGTGGGACGCCTGGGGCTCGATCCCGCGACCTGGTAGTTAGGGGCCCAACCACCCTAACAACTTGGTCACGGGCTCGTTTTACTGTCGGTGGCGATCAGGAAATAAATAATGGTAAAGAAGGACGCTCACTGATCGCTTTACGGAATCCATTCGTCCCGTTGTGCCTTAGGGCTCTCTTGAGCCGAACCAGCAACCGTATTGCGGTGCGTAATATAGGCGAAATAGCATTGCCGAAAAAGACAGGAGAGACTTAACTGGCCATTTATGGCCTATTAGTCGTCGACAGCCAGTCATACAAATGAAGGGTGTATGCTTGCGAGGGGGAAGAGGGAGAGGAAGGCAATCTCATTGCTCATGACAGGACTGTGTACGAAGTCAGAAGGTCTCTGTAGACAACGCCCTGTGATTTTTTGATTAAGTTAGTTATCAGCATCGCCTGAATTTCTAAACTCACATCATCCATAAGGAGGAAATTAATCACTGGGCCACGAACCCGTTGTCCTGTCGGTTTCGATCGGGAATATACAATGGTAGGGGGCGCTCACCGATCGTTTTTACGGAACTCACTCGTTCCGTTGTGCCTTCCGGGCTCTCTCTAGAGCCCAACCAGCAGCCGCACAGCGGCGCATGATATGTAGGCAGAATGCTATTACCGACAAAGACAAGGGAGACTGGAATGGCCATTTCTGGCTTATTAGTCGTCGTCAGCCAGTCATACCAAACCCCGAAGTTCGGAACACCCGAGGCTTTAACTCGCGACCTGTTAGTTAGAAGTCCACGCCTCTAACCGCTGGGCCACGAACCCGTTGTCCCGTCGTTATTCGCCTAAAAATTTTTTGCGTCAACATGCAAGTACAGGTGACTATACTGCATTGGTGTGTTGTGCAGGAGTACTGACTTTAAACGAAGTAGATGTGATCGTGGGAGCAAGAACCTTTTTCGTCTGACGGTTCGGATTAAAGCCCAGACGCAGCATTAGAAACAGCATCGGATTCGCGCAATTCGTGCAGAGGACGCTGTCACTATGCTATTGCATGCCAATGAAAATTAACACCCCCCCCCCCTCATCAAGGATGGTCACACTCTGGTGCGCCATTTGCTTGCTGGCCGAAATGCAAGCCGTTAATTACTGAAATTTCATCACCCCTGTTGGATATTGGCGTGATGATTGTTCGGAAACCAGGCCCACTGTCCTGCGAGCGCCCCGAGTGGCTAACTACTTTGGACAAACTAAGTTTAGACAATGAATTTGGGGGCGGATGTCAATGCATTTGTTAGTAGACTGGAGTCCGATGAACCACGACATACGCCACTCCCAGCTCATGCGTGGATTTCGGCCTCGTCGAGATTGAATGTGTGGCGGGGTCTCGTCGAATGAGCTGCGACTTGGGAGTTGGCGTCACTTCTTCGCAATGCTGCCGCGTGTTCAGGAATCCGTGTCCGGGGCAGTCTGCCAGCTCCTCGGTGATCGCATCTATTTTCCCCCACTTACTCCCCAGAACTTGCATTTTTGCTTGTATCGGAAACACTAAATTTTTATGAAATATTGAAGAGTCTGCCCATGCCTCATGGGCGTGTGTATGAGGCTGTTCCAGGGTAGGACTTATACAACTTTACAGTAGGTGACGTATCTTGCAGGGAATGTGACTAAAATACAGGAGTTTTGATTAGGTTGGGTTGTAATATTGATTATCTTGCAGCACAGTTTCCAGTTTTTCATTCGCTTCGAAGTGCCACTATTTAAACGTACATCTTTACCGGCTGCCTTTAAAAGTCACACATGGCAAGAAGTGCTAATTGTGTAGTATCCATTTATTTTCCATCAGTTCACTATATTCTCATTAACTCAAACATATTTTTAAAAAGACAGGCAGAAAATGTCCATTCATGTTACCGTTTACTATAAATCACGCCTGCTTCATTTTTCACTCGAAAAAAACGCGCGTTTCTCTCTGAATAGGTTACAATTATGAATTTGTAAAATCATAAGAGGCCTAGTCATGCCGTGCCGTACCTCTTCGCTTAGTGATGTTCTTATAAATTATGTAACCTGATCCATCCTCATTATAAACTTTTTCGGATCTTAATTAGTATATATTTAGGAGCATAGGCGAATGCACCATGTTTCTTAATGGTAAATGTAGAGCTTAGATCTATGAGGCAAAAGAAAATCAGTGGGAAATGTATACTACTTAAGTTGTCACTTTTTCTTAGGTGTGGTTTCTGGAGACAGCATTTGGGAGCCGGTATCCTGAGGTGACTGGATTATCTGAGGATTATGCAACATGATAATCCTTCTTATAACCCACTCTAAGTAACTCTTTCTGGCCAACACCATATTTCTGAATTTCAGTGGAGGTTCTTTGATATGCATCACATACTGTGTCTGTAGATGCTACGAACTGATACAGCTTTGGCTAGAAGTTGTGTTAGTCTCCACGTAAAGACGTCTTTATCCTACCTGCGTATTCATACCCTAGTATAGACACTACTGAAAACTTTCCGAAGTCGCAATTAATTCGGCAATAGTCGGGCACATGTGCTCCGCGTTTATTTCTGCCCTGCCAACATCGCTAGTATTAACTAGTTCTCTGTTTTCTCAAAAATTTATGTACTTCTGCTCAGTAATTAGCTTGTCTCCGTGGCATATTGAAGCTGAGGAAACGCAGAAGGTGTTTGTCACCCCACGCACCCTCGAAGTGTCGACTTCCCGATTCTGGTTCACTCACATCCCCTCGGGCCACACTTTTCATGTCCTGTTAGCCACCCTATCTACTCTGGTCTGCGGTGAGGCCATGACCGTTCTTTGTCATAATTGCGGGTTACAGCAAACATCATCTATGCTATTTACGCCCTGTTTTTATTCTTAAAGCACTGGCGCTTCCAGTGGACAAACGTAGCCGGAATCGCCCCACCCAATGAAAATAAACGATTCAGGGTAAGTTAACAGTAATCTTGATGGGAAAATTGCGTGACTCACACTTGCTACCGGCCTCTAAAGTGCAGTTTTCAAGGATGCAGCTGGACATAGGCATATGGACCTCCCCCCACACTACGGGTGGCCCTGAACCCAATTTCAGAGGAGCGCACGGTCAGGGTCAAGGTTGGGACACAGAAATTGGCGGCTCCAAGGAATTTAGTGTAAGGCCACTTGTAGTTTGCGGTTCTAGTTCCAATGTCCGACAAAAGGATTCTGCTAGATGCTCTTTAAACTGTTAGTTAAATAGGCTAACACCAGCTGAATCTGCCGTAAATGCCTAATACACCTAATTTCTTTGTCAAAGAGTGGATATATGTCGCTGTACACAGGGCCAAAGTAATTTAACAAGGCTCAATTCTGTGGCGTTTTAAAAAACTGAAAATCTGACCAATCGACTTTCTGACTGTTGACTGATGTATATATTGGAGGGCAGCCCCGCTGAATGTGGAGAACAAAAGATACCTGAATGACTGTTAAGGCCTTATTTACAGTCGTAACCTTGTAACTCCCTTTGTATTCGGGCTTCATGTCGCTGCCATGACAGCTTAAGTTAGTGTTCTGCGGACTGATTGTGTAATTTGCTAATTTGCTCAAAAGTCTCGGACCGCCTCCAATATATATGTTTTCCAGCACATATATATATATATATATATATATATTTGGTTGAAAAAACATCTGCAGATAAGTGGTGCTATTCAACTTCTACCGAGTATGAACGTTTCAAGTCGTTGCAAGGCGCCTTACGACCTCATGGAATATTATTAAAACGCCACAAATAAAATATTTTTGTGTAGTTTTCCTACTTTTGCAGGCCATATGAGCTGAACATTTTATGTGGATTTGCGCCATCAGAAGGCCCCAGTGACTAGCTGCCCTAACGTTTGATATGTAACCTCAGCATTCAAGCATATATTCCACTCATTTAAATAGAAAGCCCACCTCCATAGATGGGAGTAATATGATAGGTAGCGTTCTGTCTTCCTTTCGAAACGACCTAGGGCTTGGTTACGGCTTCCGGTCAGCGATAGCTCATTCTAGTTACTTTTTTCCAGGAAAAAGCTCCGTATGTCGCCATAGCGACGACCATCAAACCGGTGAACACTGTTCAAGGCATAAAAAGTGGCAGTATTGACTGCCTTCCCTGATACGTCAGCCAAACCCAAAACAATCACATCAACTTTCATTTAAAAGAGCATAATAGCGGCAAATTGATACGTCTATAACAGAGATCTCACCAACTCCGGTGAATTCCCCCCCCCCGGATTGGTTAAAACCCAACCAGAATAAATCAGGGAGTGGAAAATGACCGCGGCCAGCTCGTCTGCTACTGTTTGTAACCGCAGGAGAGTGAAGGATAGTTTAATCAGTTCAAACTTCCATATTACATCAAGGAATTAAACAGCACTACCTTTGGGCGACTGGGCGGAAGCTAGTCTGAGCCAATTATTAGTCAACTGCATTCAAGTGAATAAAAATTCGGAATTATTATCATTCCACAACAGATCAACGCTTATTAAAGGACTTATCCAAAACCTGTCAAAATACCTACTAATTACGTGAGCCTGGTAGTCACGTCGTGGATTCCAGATGGAGTGCCTGGAAAATTCTACTTGGACAGTCAGCTCACTGTATCAGATTTGGTGGGCTCCGCACGTTGCAGTAGGCTGGACAGGTAATTTGACGTAAGTGTGGTTGAAACCAGGGCTCCCGATGGGGCCTCGTAGCTCAGGTGGCTAGAGCGTTGACTGTACTGAAGCCCTCCCCCTTACTGCGTGGGTTCGAATTCCACCAAGGTTGTCGAGTTTTTCACAGTTGGGTCGACGTGAAAGCATCGCTTATGGGGATATGATAAGAGAACCCCCGCACTTCTGCATAGCATGACACAAATAAAAAATCCGTCGACTGTTTTTTGGCTGCAAGAGTGGACACTCGGCCGCTTCGGCTTTGGGAAACAGATCTTCCTACATCTCAATCATCAAGCCGAAGCGGCCGAGTGTCCATTCTCACAGCTCTGTACTGAGGAAATAAATACATTGTGTCACGAGCAAAGAGAGTACTCGCTCTGATTGTTTTTATAGCTCGCGAGAGTTCTGCCTAGAAGTAAACTTCAGTTGAAGAGGAGACATAATTTTTGCTGAAATTCTGATGTCGCAGAGAGAGCACAATTTCCCCTTATCAAGAGAAAATCTTCTAATGAGGCCTCAATACAAGTCAAGGGATTTAATACAGAATGACCTCTCCTAAGATAGAAGAATGAAACTCAGAGGCCGACACAGCTCCCCTGTAGTTAGAGTAGAAGTCATCCGTATATTCAGTAAACTTCTTCAGAAGACATAAAATCGATCGCCACATTCTACAGACTGCCAGGATACAACTTAACATATCTTCTAGAAACTGACCTGAAGTTCGTCAAAAATATTCACAAACAGTAGGCTCTTGGTTCACAGGTAAGAGTGACATGGATGGAGGCAAATGGTGCTAATTAAGGCTCACGATTAGCACAAAGTGGTTCACGCTTCAAACAACAACATTTGATTCCTCCTCAACTCAAGAGAATCTCGCATATTTGCCCACTGGGGAAAGCCCGCAAATGCCTACCCCGCCTGTGCAGTCTTCTCTAATTTAAAGTTGGTGTTTTTGCACCAGTCGGCTCAAAACATTTGAGGGTAATTGTAAACACGCAAGAGACAAAGTATTATCCACGACAAGCCTTTTAATTTAAAATGATGTTGTGTGCACATCTGAAACGCTAAAACAATTTAGAATTGAACACGGTATATGTACCCCATTTTCCTGTACTAGACGTGCTCAAACGCTAACTTTCAGAAGGATCGGGCTGAGTTTAGGGTTGGGATAAAGACACGAAAATAGATATTGCCTAGGTAGTTAGCGTAAAACCACCCGTCACACGGGTGCTGCCCATTTCCCTGTCATCCCGAATTTCATCGCGATTTCAAGCTTCTCCGGGAAAACCCTTCTGTAAGTCTACTCGGCTCCAAGTGTTTCCACAGTAATGGCTTCCTTTCGCGTAGAAATTCTTAACGTATTCGAAAGTCAGTGCACAGTCGTAGTCAAATCGTTTACGCTGGTTGAAATTCAACTTCCTCTGGTACTCTTCAAGAAGTACATAACAGGAACCAATGCTCACATGGTTCCAAGAAAAAAACCTTTTTTAATCAATCTCAATGGTTTGTGCTATATTGTCTGAAGCTATGAGTTGGTACCTCAACAGGAAGTTATGACAACTTCTAAGCTAAAGCGTTCAATTAGGTATTACACACGCGAGCACCCACAAAGCATCTAAAAACTCATTGCGCATTTCTGCGATAACGGTCAGGTTTTTTAAACGAATCCATGGCGTAACCAACGGTTAGTTTCTATTAACTACCTATCAGTGATCCCTCCTCGATCACGAACATTGAACATCCACGACGTAAAAACCGTACTTTATGACTCACATACATTTAAGTCCTTATAAACCCTCTCAGGATATCTTGAGATTTTTTTGCCATCGGGAAAACAAGATGCTGGGATAGAGAGTGAGTTGGATGCTGTGAAAGCCCGCCCCATTAGAAACTGACTCATGCGCAATGCACCGCGGCTGGATCCTTCTGTTGGAACACGTAGTGAAAGGCGTCGTTTGTGACGATCGAACTGTCATATCATGTGAAGGCGCAGTTTGCAATTTAAGTTCAGACTACCTGATCATTGTGTTTGCTTGAAAAGGATAACATCCGATTCGGTCTTATGCCCTTCAGGCGAGGTCCTATCATAGGACTCGATCTCAGATGGCATATGGTTGCTCAAGGTGTGTTCGCATCTTGAGTCAGAACTGACACAGAGGAATAGGTTCACACTGAATATACGGATGACTCTGCTCCAACTGAAAAATTCCAAGGGGACCTGTGGCGATCTCTGAGCTCCATTCTCCTATCTGAGGGAAGGTCATTCTGCATTAAATCACATAGCTTAAATCGAGGCCTCTAGGAGGACGACAGTATGTACGTATGTATATGTACAGTAGGTGGTTTAACTCATGAAATGTCAACCGAAATTCTGAACCGCGCTTTCGTTTCGAAAGGGTTAATTAAGTAGGGTCGTAAAACTAATCATTGGGCAGCACGATTCTGTAATAATTCAATTACTTCGGAATGCCGACTTTCGAACAAACTTCCTTTAAGCTGCACGCAAAAACTACACGCTGTAAAAAATGACCACTTAATTAGCATGCAATTTTCTCAATCATTTTCGATGCCCCTAAATGCCCAATTATATTTCCTGGAAAACATGCATAAAAATATTCATCCTTTCGTTTATTCGGTAGGAAATTACCTCTTCTTCCAATTTTACACTTGAAAGAGGGATATAATTCGGTTTTAAAAACGTTTCTAATTGTGAGATTTTTAAATACCGTGAAATGGCCGCTCATAAATCGTCATGTCTCTGCATTTACGAATGCGGCTTGTACAGTTAACAATATGGATCAAATCCACTGCTAAAATTTTATGAACCCCATATGATCTTCTCTTAATACTGTGGAGAAATGTATGATTGTTCGTACATACAACATATAGCGTTTGTAGTTTGGAAACCGCGAATCCAAGTATAACGGCAGAGCGGGTTCAAAATTAATCGGGAATTAAAAAACTTTTTGAAAACCAAACAACACTCTTCGTTCGAGTATAAGATTGAAAGGAAACGTAATTTTCTACGGAATAAACGAAAGAATGAATATTTTTATGCATGTTTTCCGTGAAATATAATTGGAATGATTAAGAAAATTGCATGCTAATTAAGTGGTCATTTTTTACAGAGTGTAGTTTTTGCGTGCAGCTTAAAGGAAGTTTGTTCGAAAGCCAGCAACTCGGAGTAACTGAATTATTATAGAATTGTGCGGCCCGATGATTAGTTCTACAACCCTACTTAATTAATCCTTTCGAAACGAAAGCGCAGTTCAGAATTTCGGTTGACATTTCCTGATTTAACCCACCTACTGTATATGTATGTATTTGTGTATATTTGTATATATGCCTTCTGTGTTCATCGCAAGGGTTTAACATGTGCTCAAAAGCTTGTCCCAAATCTCCCACAGAGGCACTCCGAAAGTCTGGGTATAGTCAGGAGGGCTACAGTAAGTCTGCACGGAAGCAGACGGCCGGCACACACTGCATAACGTAATTTGAAGGAAGAGTGTCAATTGACGAGGTCAGCTGCCGAATTCAGGCAGGTCCCCTCCCTAACCTGGGCTTTTTTCTGTCCGAGTTTGTATGCAAAATTACTAATGCAGACCTAAAGGCCTTTTGTTTTCAGAGTGGACATTTCGGAAAAACAAAATGTCGGAGGGGTGGCTTCCGCGCAGCACGGTTATCTGCTCCGTTCTCGCTCCAGCCCACCTGGGCAAGCCTACCAAAACCGGATTAGACTACGGAAACGCCCACTCTCCCGCTGACTACCTTTCCGGCAGCTGAGTAGAACTCAGCACTGGCTTACTGCCCTGCAGAGCACATAAAACAATAGCAGTCCTTTAGCTATCCTTTCAATTTTTTACTCTTTCTAATACAATACATTAAGCTGTTGATATGAGCTTTGCTTGGGGTTTTCAAGCTAAGCCAAAAGGAGAGAAACTAGTTCAGGACACACAAAAGGCAACCACTCTGAATTTTGTCATAGCTCTTTAGAGATAAGGGTAGTTATGTAGCATTAAGCCCAGAGCGGATGCGGTTAATGATTCCCGATTTATTTCTGGCGCAAAGTCCGTGTTCTCCTTGTGGTGACAGAATGGACTTTTGCTGTCTGAACAGAAGGACACTCGACTGAATAACTAACAGGATTCAAAGCAAAATGCCATGTATTTCTACATTGGAATTGACTTGTGGTTTTCCTTGCATCGCGATAAAATTTATTGATTATTCAGCTAGAACGCCTCAGTTTCCACGCGCGATGAGCACATGTCAAAATCTGGCCCGATACCGTTTATTTGCTCGCAAAATCCTCCTTTTACGGCTGCAGAACTTTAAGAAAGAAAATGTGTGGTTAAGGGTTAAATAAGGCCGTTGTCTGAAATTCGGTAGATGGACAGTAAATGTGCAGTAGGCGGGCAAACTCATGAAATGTCGAACCAAGTTGCGAAATTCGTTTTTGTTTTGAAAAGATTAGTTAAGTAGGGTTGTAAAACTAGCCACCCTGCAACAGAATTCTATAATGTTTCGGCTAGCTCCGGATGCCGGCTTTTGAATGAACTTCCTTTCGGCTGCATGCAAAAATTACTACTTAAGTTGCCCGAATTTTTCTCCTTGATTTTCGATGTACCCAAAATGTCCAACTATATTTCATGGAAAACAGACATACAAATATTCATTATTTTGCTCATTTGGTAGTAAATAACGTCTTCTTCCAATCTTTTACTCAAAGGAAGTGTGTACTTTGGTTTCCAAAAACTTTTCCAATTCCCGAATAATTTGAACACGCTCTGCCGTTACGCTTGAATTCAGGGTTCCCAAACTACAAACCGTATATTTTCTGCGTACGGAAAACCACACATTTTTCTGCAGTAACAAAGGCAGACCATATAGGGTCCATAAAATTTAGCAGTGAATTTGATCCATATTGTTAATTTTACAAGCCATATTGGTAAATGCAGAGACACGACGATTTATGAACGGCCATTTCACGGTATTTAAAAGTCCCAAAATCAGAAACTGTTTCTAAACCTAATTATGTCCCTCCTTCGAGTATCACCTTAGAAGAAGACGTAATTTTCTACCGAATGGGCAAACGAACAAATATGTTCATACATTGTTTCCATGAAATATAACTGGACATTTAGGGGCATCGAAAATCAATATGAAAATTTCATGCTTATTGAGTGGTCATTTTTTACAGTCTAGTTTTTGCAAGCATCCGGAAGGAAGTTCGTTCAAAAGCCGGCATCCTGAGGTAACCGTAATATTATAGAATTATGTTGCAGGCTCACGAGTTTTACAGCCATAGTTAATTAATCTTTTTGAAACCAAAACGCATTTCGGAATTTTGGTTGACATTTCCTGAGTTAGCCCACCTACTCTATGTCCGTCAGGCGAAGTTTTCTGGCGTAATTTTTTATTTAAGAAACGTCTTTCTTGTTTTTTTCGTCCGCTGCTACCTTGGCTAACCGTAAGTGCATGAATAATTAGTGTCTTTTCGGCAAGCACCCTCCCCTTCTCCGTCGGCCGACCTATTCCGATGTTGCTGATGAAGACGCCGGCATATGTTAAGGGCCTCATGACACGACATGAGACACGTGTCTACACACGAGCAAGTGCACATTTGCAATAAGGATTTCGTGCTCTCCGCAGGTAAGTAAGGCGCCTCCAGTTTCTTGCGACTTGACAACATGGAAGGGACGGGGGAAGCATGCTGGCTTGGCTTCTAGTACGATCTCCCGGTTTCTTTGTGTGTAAATTCTAAAATTTACACTTAAAACGAATTGTGAATGCAATGAGCGGGGGAGGGTTGACATTTTCTGTGGTAATTCGTGCCGCGGATAAATCTGTGCACGAAACCGCAACAAAGAAGAATGGGCGAGGTTTGATTCTGAAGCCCCCCTTGATTGATGCCATATGGTTGGCTTACCAAAACAATGTTAACTAATCTACCTAACTTAGCCACTCGCTGGATTAGGAAGAGAAAGAGAGCGCAAGCAGAGCTCGAAGCACGCTCAGGGAAGCGAGTGAAGGTGGCATGTATTCAGTTCCTCCCCCGACACAGCCACTCGCTGGATTGAGAGGATAAGGAGGGCTCAATCACAACTGGAAGGCCACTATGGGAACCACATGGTAGTTCGCAGTGCATGGCCACCGTGGTGGAACCGACAGATTTCCACACCGTCGAAACAGTTCTATTAGCAAGTCTTCTTGGCTACTCTTGGATAATAAAGAGGACGCAAAAAGGGCTCGAAGCAGGCGAAAGGAAGCGCGCGCGAACTGCTACCTGAAGTAACCCAGGCTAGCACAGTCACTCACTGGATTAAAACGGTAAGGAAGATGCAATAACGTGATTCTTGTAAAGTCAATTTATTCGCATCTACCAAATTTTTTTGGAAACCTGACCATATGATATCACTTAAGTGGGACTGCAGGATCAAACATTGCTGAAGAATGAGCCTGTGAAATTCTAGGCTGACGGAATCTAAGGTTTAGTAAGCAGTTGATCATGAACAGAAGAAGTCAGAACTATATTCTTCCGCATGGATATGTGAAACTGAATTTTTGGGGATAGATAGCCAGTAAAAAATGGAACATACAACTCCTTTTACGTGTACGCACCACTGAAGAGTGGGCGAGATTATGATGCATCTTTAGGCGGAAGGAATTGTCATTATCTCCATTCAGCTGAAACCCGCCGTAAATTTCCGCACAGTAGCAACACTTGATTTGGAACCCCCCTCCACTAAACAGCCCCAGATGTGGGAAACAAGTAAACGCTTTTGCCGCTTGACTACATACCCCTCTACAGCCGAGAACCAGTTACGACCACCTCCCCCACCCCTTTCCCCACTTACACTACACTAGACTTGCTTTGATAGGCTAGATTAAATGACAAAGCCGGCGGGTGTGGTTACAGTAGTGTAGCGGGTAGAGTCCCTGCCACGCATCCTGCGTGTTGGCAATTGGGCCCAGTCTTACACAGCAAATGGGATCTCCTTGTGTGTGTGTGTGTGTGTGTGTGTGTGTGTATTTGTGTGTGTGTAGTGCCCTCTAAACGGGCCACGTGTTAGATGCGCTGGACCAAAACGGGGGCCACATCGGACTCTGGCAGGCGTTATCTGTGCGCAATAACAAATGCCAACATTTGCGGTGTGCGTTGGCGGACCCTGTTGTCGGCATTCGCCGTTCAACTGGACCACTGCCGCCACCCCATTGTTTTGTGGTCAAAATCCTGGTCATTTGTTTGTGGACCAGGGGGTGCAGAGTGGAGCGCCAAGGTGAGGATCCGTCCGGGCCATCCACCTGCGGCCTCCCTCGTCTCCGGTCTTCTTGACTTGGTCTTGACACCGGGCCCAGGCGGGGGAGGAGGAGAGAGTGTAGGTAGATGCAGCGCAAGTCTACCGGCACTATAAACCCCTGCGCAGGTCACCGTCCCTGCTCCCACAATGCAGTCTGTGGGGTACACGGTGGTCATCGTCGAGATCGACGGACGAACTGTCGTGTGTGTGTGTGTGTGTGTGTGTGTGTGTGTGTACCAGATTCCCTGATTCCGGTAAATGAGCTCAGTCACTTAAATACTTCTTTTCCACTTCTTTTAAACATTTCTGACCCAGCCAGAACGCCAGTAAGGCGGCGTTTGTGCTGCAACAAAGGCCGGCGCGCCGAGTGCAGTGAGTGTGAAGGCCCCAACTTCCAGTCAGGCTCTGATGACCCGGATGTGCGTGCACTCTACGGGTGCAGAGGGCAGCGACAAAAAGCGAAGAAAAGAACAAACGCTAGAGGCAGCAAAGTAATGAATATTTCATCAGGTGATGATACTTCCCATTCACCCGGGTGGGGAAACCAACATTGTCAAAAGGCGGTAGGAATATGTACTTTTTACTCATTTTTTGTGTTGCCAATGAAATGTTGAAGTCAGAGAGGGGGGAGGAGGGTGAGAACCATTTTTAGCCGTCTAGGGTGAAAATGTGCGGACATCTCGCACGTCCGAGGACAGTGACAACGAGAGGAAAATTAAGCCCTATGAGAGAATGTTCGGCGGAGATATATAGACATGTAATCCATTGCAAACTTTACCCTCGGAATCTCTTATCTTGCTCGAGTTTATTTCGACAGTACTCTGGCCTAGTAAGACAACCATTCTGCGAATCCCTTAATAGAGAAGGGATTATTGCGGCACTTCTAGGCACATTAAAACAAGTATACGACTCAGATGCGATTTGTATCTGTTTTAATACTCCATTCTATCGTGTTTCCTGTCTTGAAAGGCTCCGCCCTTAAAACCTCAATTACCAACATTCCTGCATTACAGGTGGTCCTCTTCCATTGTTTAAAAGGGGGCCATTTGCTCGATCCCCAAAAAATCTTATTTGACACACCGAAGTGGTATTTACGAATCTGTCTTCACAGCAAGGTGGAATACGGGCAGCTGGGTTTTCTCCCTGAACATCCACCTAGAGTTGGTCGTGCATCGGTCAGTAATCGAATATCGAACCTTATTAGGAAAAGAGATAAGGGTGATCAAGATGACCGGGTCTGACCTGTTTTCCGCAACTGATCTTCAGGTCCTCAGCAAGGTACGGTTGCTCACTAATTGAGGGGCTCTGTCAGTTCAGTGAAGAGTTCCCAAGTCTACCCTGTTTTTTCCGATAGAACCCCTCGACTGACAAATACTCTATAGCAAGAACCAACCCAGCCCAGATTGTTTGAAACACTGGAACGATCTTCGAAAAAAAAACCGATAATGCGACCTTAATGGTTTTCAGTATATCAGACATGCTAATGCAATGGGAAGTGACCCCAAACTCTCATGGCGTCTGCTACAGCTACTTAGAGGACGCTGCGCTGGCTGTATACACCCTATGTCGGGTCTGAGCGGCTCAGACGTTACGACGATACTTAGGTGTCCGACCTGTTGCACGTTTAGATGAACACTGTCCGTAGGGAGCTGTATCATTCGTTTTCGTTCCTTCGCCTCTTTGTTCTACTGTTTTTGATCAGCCCTCGCAGCAGACTCTGCTGCATGGGCGCTGGGTAAGATTGGATCACGAGACGCGTCTTCTCGGCTGCGCAGGATCCGCGCGAGCTCATAACTATTGCCGCACATACATGTGCTGACACACCCTAGATGTGGGTCTTCACGCTGCACCAGCCCTTACGCCCAAATTCATCATCAAGTGTTTTTAAAGGCTCCGAGGGTCGACCGGTGCATGGGAGAGCGTAAGATGGGGCCAACACTGGAGACTCTATCTACACGGCAAATCAGCGCATTTCTCACTAATAATAACTCGACACGCCTGAACTTATCATGACGCGTTAGAGGTCGTGACTTGGAGGGCTGCCAACTGACTGGACAGCTCCGCCTTTCTCAGGACCGGCAGTCAGGCTGTAATGGTCCCCGACCAATGTGACCCTTATAGCATTCTCATTAATATGCGATCCGAGCCGCCCCTCGTATACATGGAGTGAGAAACAGGTTGTGCGTGGAACCCGTAAGGGGGCTGTTTATCTTAATTAGTCACTGAAATCAAGCCCACCTCCAGTCGTCATGACATTGGATTTTCCTCTGAGGGACGTGGGCGAGGGATGGGTGAGTGCGGTAGATACTGCGCAAGTCTGCTCCATTACAAGCTAAATCACGTGAAGGTCACCGACGCTGCCCTCACCATGCTGTGGGGCACACAGTGGGCGTCATCACCTACGGCGGTCCATTTGTCATAATCGATTCGGTAGGGGGGGGAGCTAGCTTTCTAAATAGGCCTCATAAATTAAAAACCCAAAGCGACGAAATCTAGGTCCTCAACCCGAACGTCTTAACCCGTGGATTCCGTTTTAGACGCCACTTTGAAGGCGGGCTGGCAACTTCGGAGGGCAGAAAATAAGTAACTACCTAAAAATCGCCAATTTCCCAAGTCCCACCTCATTCTCATCCTTCTTCAAGAGGGCGGCGCTAAGCTCCACCCATGGTACGCATAAAGTATCAGTTTGTAGTCGACCTACAAGACAGTTTTCCAACCTCGCCTGCTCTTCGTGGTAAAGGGCTGAGCAAGCCGCACGAATTCGGCCAGTGGACGACTCGACTGTGCGAGTTCCTATTAGTCTGCACAGCAAAACATGCAAAAACAACTTATCAAGGTCTTACCAGTGCAAGCGCACTCGCACAGCAAAGCGCAAACTTTCATGATTAAAACCACGTCTGGGCTTCCTACTGAATAACTCTGCAATTTAATTTATCACGCCTGTCAGGCAAACGCCCAGCAAAATAGCCCCCTCCCCCCCCGCCCACGGAGCACACATTTGATTCGCCTGAAATTTGAGATTGAGGAAGGTGGATTGGAAAGGACCGGCGGCCCTCACGAAAGACTGTGATTACTTAACCTTCCTTGCTCAATACTGGCGTGGTATGACAGCGTAGGATTGCACGCTCTCGTTGCCATTCAATCACGCAATAGCCTCACTTTAACTGATCAGCCAGCGAAACATGTGAATGTAAAGAGGTAGAAACTGAAGTTTAGAGATGTTTTTGTCAAATCGACAAAGTGCTTAAGACTTAAATCGACTACATAGTTCTAATTTGAAGGCTTCGGTGGATAGCCCCATGTTTACGTCAAATTTGGAGACATCAGGCCTGGATGATTGCGTAATTTAGGGCAGACAGTTCAAACCCTTCCAGTTAAACAGAGATGAATGACAGTTAGTAAAGTGTGCTATCCCATAGCGCGAAATTCCAGGATTTACTTGGTCGGGAAAACGTTTGTGAGGATGTGTGGAAAGGCGTTCTTACTTCAAAATGCTGATGGTGTGTCAACTCGTCATAGGAAATAAAAAATTCAAACTTAAAACGTAGACCCATTCGCCTCTTGGGTCGTTTGATAAACCGCTTATTACGTTATATCAATGCAAAAACCGGCCGTGGCAACTGTTATCTCCATGGATCGAGAGTCACGGTTCACTCAGTTATTTAAAGACAAAGTTTGTTCGACCATGACTTCATCCTTTGTTAAAGAAGCATTTTATTTTTTGGAATCTTCCCGCTTTCTAAGGTTGCGCTTCTAACCCTCAATCAGGTAATTGTTTTTATATTGGGAAGCTGGTCACAACCATCTGCTATAAAGGGGCTCGGTGCAGGAACCGGTAATTTTGAGTGTTCTCCATGGCGATAGGCCCCGTCATTTAGATTTTCCCTTAATTTTCATTCCCGGTTTAATTTGGCACGTTCTGTCTCACCGAACATTGAAAACGACAAACAATTAGTTATCTTGGAAGGAACATAAACGATCATTGAGAAACGCATTCGGATTTCAATATCTCCTGTAGGTCCTGATCCAACCTGTGCCGTTTTACCACAAAAGGCTTTAAAACAAATAGGAAACAATACTTACGTCCTATAGTTACCCTCAGTTCCTTTCATTTGACGGCCAGTTCAAGAAACTTTACAAGTTTGCCTAGCTTGAATGGGTATAAACATACTGAAGTGATAAACTTTTCCTTTTGTTACACATGCAATCGGTTCATTTGATTTTAAGACGAGTTAATGTCCGATTCTCGTGGGTTAAAATCTACGGACATTGCCTGAGCTGGTTCTCTCTAGTACCCCATATTTCCCCCAATTAAGTATTATCACCTCATGTTGTTAAGGCATTTTTCTTGACATGATAGTTACGTAAAAGCGGATCCTATTGCAAACTCATTATCAACTGACTCTTTGAAAAGTGGACTACTTCGGATACAAGCTACCCCAAGATGACTTTAAAACTGATTTGGCGTCAGCGTGAATTTCTTAGCATTAAACGGTTATCGGTTTTCTAAGGCCCATCCGATCAAGTAGAATCCAACAACAAGTCAGTTTGTAAGATGACTACGCGTGGGAAGGAAAATAATACGAGCCCTGATGAAGATAGAGCATTTAAGATGTTGACAAATTAAGGCCGATAACGTACGATTTTCTGTATACTGTTCCACGTTAGGCCTTTTGGAAGCCCTCAAAGACAACCTCCTGCCACGCGATGTACGACGGTCCCTTCCAGGGCAAAAGTAATGCTGTTCGGATAACTATGAGCCTCGACGTATTGTCAGTCCGCGAACGCACGTGCGCGCTCATGCGTCAGCCAATGAAACGCCAAGAGAACATGTCATAAGGGCGCAGCTGATTGGTAGAAACGCATCTGCGAAGTGCAATTTGCAATCGTGTGACGCCATCGATCGCCTCAAGCGAGTGCGTTATACAGAAAGGCACGTCAGTGCACCCACACTAATATGTGCGCACACATTTTTGGACCCAAATACTCGACAACGCCCATTTGGGATATTCTCCGTCAACTCGACTATTGTGTTCTAAACGCTGGTTGCAAGTGCTGAGGCCCTATCACCCCTCATTTCTTTCCGGTCGCGGTAACAAAAAGTCTACCCACTGATTGCATAACATAATGAGCTTTGGTGAGAATTTTTGTACTTTTGACGGTTTACGTCATGTGATACGGTCTTAGAGTAGACCGAACCAATTTTCGACCGACAAACCATAAATGACCGCTTACTGAACGAAACATCCGCAATGAAAAGCCCAGATGACAGTCAATTTTCTTAGCAACTTGTCAAATATGCTCAGGGAATTTTGTCGTCAGTCTTTCTAACGCTCGTCATGAACTGGGACACAATGCTATGTCAGTATGAATCGAGTTTGGTAATGCTCGTAGAACAATTTCCAATCATAGGTGCTGAAGAATAACGCTAGTGAAGTGTACGAAACCGTGTATATCTATTACACATTTTTAGTTTATTGAAACTAAAAACGCTCCACTGAAATTCATGTGGAAAATTCCTATTAGCAACTATTGGTATGTAATGATAAATTAAAAGTGACTTGTGTTGTTAATAGGATGGTTTGGTATGGCGGTTTGTAAAAACCAGCGAAATTGACTAGTGGGTGGTATACTGTTTCTCAACAAAACCAGATCCAGGATTCAAAACTTACCGTTTTATATTCTGAAGAGTAAGTCCAGTGATAGACGTCTACGAACGAAAGCCTTCTCTCCCTTTGTTGGATCATCAAAGTTAATGAACCCAAAAGTAGATCAGTACTCTCAAAACCGCACTTAAAATATATTATTAAATGGTCCTTGATTTGCTTGAACGTGTCGTTATAGAGAATCGTAGTTTTTGTGGCGTAAGGCGATTCCGTCTTTGATAAAATTTACACAAACCCTCATAAGGAAACACTAAAATGAAACATTTTGTTCATGCTATTTTTAGGGACATCCGTAGCTACAACTGAGACACTTCTGACTGGCCACGTCGACGTGTAGTTCTGTGATAAAACTGGCTAACACTCCAGCTCATGCTCGCAGAAAAAAGACTTTTGAGTGTCTCTCTCTGTCATTGAAAAATCTTCACGTTAAATAACACGTACCTTTTCCCTCTTGTAGGCAGAATTATATAAAAACGGCTGTTCTACATTTCCAACACTGCCCTCTGTAAATAGCAAACGCGAAGCCGACGAGACAGCCAACTGTGTGACCTTGAAAGATGACCTTGAAGTTTCTCTAGAATTTAGACGATGCAGCTGGTGCTTACTTCCAATGCAGAAACTGCAAATTAATCTTGAGAGTTGTAACTGTCGACAGATCGAAAGTCTCTTATATTTAACGGTCTTTCTGGAGCCAGTGGAAAATAGGCAGCCTTTTCGCTGGCAACAAACACATGCATTTTTTCAACTAATTTTCTTTCCGAAGCCACTTTGTGTTGCAAGGATTTGGTTTTCGAAAAGTTTTAGCAGCTAAAACTCCCAGTGCAACAATTGTTGCAACCGACAGCTGAAAATGCCAAACTGGCCTGCTCAAAATTTCAAAAACAGACCAACTTTAACAAGGACATAAGAGGACAAGTATAAACAGCAAAACCAAAACCTTAAAAACAAGTTTCGCCCGCTTGACATTTTATGAAGTAGGTGTTGTTGGGTTTATTTTGATTCCACCAAAACTAGCTAAAAATAAAGTGCGCCTTCTATGGAAGGTCTGAAAGAAGACTGTCTTGTTTTAGACAAAGTTCTAAGGCTAATATGCCACAGAAACAACAGGGAGAAACAAGCTTGATGTGCATACTTTCCATAAAATATTATCTGACCTCCGTAAGCCTTGAAAATCGATGAAACAGACGCATACTGCTAAAAATGGCAGTAAACTCGAGAGTGCGATTTTTACAGGTGGCTGGGAAGATGCCCGGCGAAAAACCCAACTGTTGTCCTTCCGAACCATACCCGACTTGATCTGGCAATCTTTCCTCGAAAACTGTAGGATTGTTTTCAGAGATAAGTATTTACTGACTGCCTGACTTTACTTAACCCATACGCCATTCGAAATCCTACATGCACACACGTCGACGTCACTGAAGAGTAATTGCTTAAGTAGACGTATGTCGTAGCTATTTTTGCAGGTAAACGCGTCTCCGCACAGGACAGGTACTGAGTACTACCTTTGATTCCAGGTTTTCCGTGTCCGGAACCGTCTCCTCCCACTTCGCTTTCAATATTTTTAGAGGTTGTCTGGACGGTGGTGATTCAGTTTTCGGTCGGACTCGGGGATATGAACCCCCTACCCCAGAACTACAGGTGACCTCCCGCTAAATCCCAGGGAACTTACTACTCCTATGCCTTAACATTTGTCCTAACCTTGATTCTAACCCTCCTTTCCGTAACCCTAGCGCTAACCGCCTAGAATTTATAGCAGGGCGAACTGCAATGCGGGGACCATACTGTTTTTTTTCCAGCAAAACCCTTCTGAAACCGTGTTGGGCACGGGAAAATAGACTTCTCCCCGTACTACGTGTGGCCTAGCGGTAAATTCCATGCAAATCCCTATTCCCGAGTTCTAACACTTACTCCAACCCGAACTCTTATCCCTCCTTAAATTCGGAGTAAGGTCATCTGTAGTAGGTGAGAGAGGCTCCATATTTCCGTGGCCAACTCCGTTTTCTTCCCTGTTACCATTGCAAGTTATCCACGCCTCTGCCGTCAGGGTTACAAATTCTGTACCTTCCCAGTTTCTTGCAGCGACGATTGTGGACTGAGCATTCTACCCACCGCAGACCCGACAGACTGTAGAGTTCACGCTACCGATTCATCACCGCTCTTGAAGTTCCAGGGAGGTACAGTTTCTCACAGCTGTGTGGCTAATTTCACTGACATTTCCCATAAGTTCGCCGCATTCACTAGCCGGAATGGCTGACACATTACCAACATCTTCCGCATGCTGATGTACAGCCCATACTCTAATCAGTGGTAGCCAGTGTGAATAAATACGGCATTTATCTGCATGTCGCACATTAAAAATAATAGAATGATCATACTCTTATAACATTTCGGACTCGGCGGGATGTCAGCTTTTAAATGCACTTCTTTTCAATCTCTTGTAGAAGGCGTAATCGGTAAAAAATGACTACTTTATTAGCATGCATTTTTCCCATTGATTTTCGATGGTCTTGTAAATGCAAATATATTTTATAGAAACCATAAACAAAAATATGCTTTCTTGTAGTCAATCAATAGAGAATCACGTCTCCTTTATATTTTATACTTAAGGAAGTATTATAATTAGGTTTTAAAAAAGTTTCTAATTATGAGACTTTTTAAGACCGCGAAACGTCAATTCACATAGCATCCTATCTGGCCGTTTACCACTGCTCCTCATGAGATGTGCAACATGGTTCACATCCATTGCAATATTTTATGGACTCTGTACGATATCTCTTTAATAGCATAGAAAAATATGTGATTTTCTTTACGCGGAACGCATGCACCTTGCAGAATTAAATTACTAAGCGCTAATGCAACGAATGATCAGGCTCCAATTTTTTCGGCAATTTGAAAACTTTTTTAAAACCTAATTATACTCCTTTCTTAAGTATAAAATATTAAGAAAACATGATTTTCTATTGACTGACTAAAAGAAAGCCTATTTTTGTTTACGGTTTCTATAAAATATATTTGAATTTCCAAGACCACCAAAAATTAGTGGGAAAAATGCATACCATTTAAGAAGTCATTTTTTTACCGAGCACGCTTTCTATAGGAGATTGAAAAGAAGTGCATTTAAAAGCCGACATCCTGCCGAGTCCGAAATGTTATAAGAGTATGCCGCAAGATAGTCAGTATTACAACCGCTGTAAAGTAATCCTTCCTAATCGAAAACGCATTTCAGAATTTCAGCCAACATTTCATGAGATAGGTCACTCACTGTATGCTTCACTGTATTTTTATTTGCAAACTGCACAAAGGACAACATGAAGACGAAATTGTGGCTCATTTGGTTGACCATGGTCATCTGTGAATTGCCAGCGAGACACTCTAAGTTCCTGCGTCAGCTAACACCTGTGACGACAGAGACACCGGTCATACAATTAGTCAATTCAGCCTTGTGCGTTTGTACAAACACGCTAAGGCTAACTCAGCACACCTGCCAGGTCGTATTGCGACGACGAAGCAGAGACATGATAATTCGGCAGTCGCATCCGACGGTGTCTACCGTGTGCAAGGCGAAGCAGACACGATGACTTGCACTTGATTTAGTTAATGTGAGCTTAAGCACCATCTACCGCACTCTCTACCCCACCCCCACCTGAGCCTGGCGTCAAGGCGGGGTCAATAAGACCGGAGGTGGGGGAGGGCGCAGGTGGGCGGCGCGGCCGAACCCGCACCTTGGCGATCCATTCTACACTCCCTAGACCATAGCAAACGCTTGACTAGGATTTCGACCAACAACAACAGCGGGAGCACAAGCGCATCTAGCGGCAGGGAACCATGAATACCGGAGAACTGCCGGCGCACACTGGGCTGCAAGGCCAGTGGTTTGCTGAACCATGACATCGCAGACGCTCGCAAACCCTGAGGCCCAGAAGAATGACGCACAGCCCTGCATTTGTCTGCGCCATCACCCAACAAAGGTTTGATAAGCAGTCGGTCAGCGACTGAAAGGCACCACCCAGTAAGTAACACGCATTCCTCATATCCTTGGGGACAGAACTGGACTAGGAGTGCCCTCAACCCTCTCCCCCGCACCTGCTGTTTATTGGCTGTTTGACTTTTGCTACCTTATCCCCACTTATATTATTATACAGGCCCAGTGACGAATAATCGAAAGCGGACGTTTGCCGGACTTGACATCTTAAATAATAATGCCGGCGAAAGGGAATACCGAAGACTTAAAAGATTGCCTGATGAAATACTACCTTTCCATGACGCAGATGGAATTCTGCACGGCATGTGGGTTTGCCAGTGTCATCTGGTCAATAAGTAGTTCTGGTTTCTGGGGGGGGGGGTGAGGGGGAGCGAAGGAGATTGACAAATCAAATCAGATGAGGTCCAGTGGGACAGCAAGCTGGTCTTTGGCTGGGCATCTTCGCAGGCACCTGGATAAGTCGCGCCCGCGAGTCTATTGCTACTAAAGTAGTGCGCATTTGTTCCATTAATTTTGGGGAGCTGAGCTAGTTAGAAAATATGGCAACACACGGGAGCAGGAACTCCGCCGTAATATAGGTGACCAGGGAGATAAGGGTTAGAGTAAAGGTCATGCCCAGGATTAGAGTTAAGGTTCTTTTTAAGTTAAGGTTCGAGTTAGGACGCGGCCGTAGGCACCCCTCCTTGAATTTCGATTACCCGAATCACGAAATGGTTCCTGTTCTTCTGTCTTGAGGGCAATCTTTTTCGATAAGTGTGCACAACACTTCCTCTTTTTATCATTGTGACATATTAAGTCTTTATCTAAAACAAGTCAATGCTCCAGTTTTGGCAAAATTTTAATAATAGAGAGGTGTCCGCGACTAAGGCTACGAGATTCCCCGTCTTGTATCACTACTTCTGGACAAACGACCACCTGCGATTTCTCTAGATTGGGCCCCAAGCCACAAGGAGACGAACACGTCTAGTAACCTGCTAGGTGAACGCCTCTTCACCAAAATTAATATTCGCTTACAGGAGGTCTGCCCAGTGGCTCAATGGCAGAATGTTGGGTCAGGTGCCGCAAATCTGGGAGTGGGTGGGGCTGTCTGATGAGATCTAATGGGGCAGAAACGGCCACTCTCGTCTTCCTTGCACTTTGTCAGCATTCCATTCTGCCCGGGTGTTTTGGGCATCTGCGTAATGCAAAAATTTTTACTCTCAATAAAAGTGTGTTTAGTTAATTGATGCATAGGCTCTCTATATAAAATCAGCACGAACAGAATGCGTCCTTGACATTTCTCCCCGCCACTTCGTAGCCCGACCGACACCTTGCCACTGACAGACAACGAGTCTCGCCAAGGTCCTTGACATGGCACAATGTTGGCTCGCGCGAGAAGCAGTTTTTCGCAGCGCCTACCTCCTCCTCTCTTCCCACATCGAACACATTCCGGTGGGAGGACGAAGTCCTGACGACCGACGCGGGACATGGATGTAGCTTATGTCGAGGTTGAAGTTACTTCTAAGCGTACCTCGCCCGTGCTTCTCCCTATCTCCATGGCAACCAGAAGTTAAAGAAGGTGATAGGTCTTGGAGGTATAACAGAAGCTGTATTCATGAGGTGCATTGCGGTTTGAGTCCCAGCCCCGAGCAGAGCAGAGCAGAATTACCCAGCCTGTTGGCAACTTTTCAAAGCATGATTCACAGGGCGTCAAGGCTTCCAAAGTGCGCATAGCTGCTTGTAGTAGCAAGGCTACCTTTGGAGTCTGAGATGAATTAACCTCACTGGCTCCTTCGAAACACCCTCTCCCCCGAAGCATGAGTCAAACCGAACCGGCACGGCTGACGCAACCCGAAACCGCTGACTAAAGCGTGCCACACACACACAGATCCAGATCGCAGAAACCTGGCGGGAGCCATAAAAACCACGTCGTGAAGGATCCGCTGCATTTTGGCAGTCTGCCAAGTCACTAGTTCCAATCCAACACAACGGCTTCAGACAGTACTACTTATATGTTTGCCAGCAGAATGAGAAAACTAGGTTTTTCATTTTAAAATCGTCGCTAGTAAAACTTTCACTGGTGATTTTCGGATTCCATGAGAGAGCCACTGGATGTCTTGTTTGCTTTTAGAGGAACTTTTTAGACTTTTGATTTATTCGAAAGATGAAAAAATCAAAATAGCAATGCAAAAGGGTGAAAAAAAAACACCGCAATTATCCACTCAGTAAAGTTGATCCCGAGAAGTGTCCGGCCCTCTTTACGTGATCGATGGATCCCCCTACCGTATGACGCTTCGGCCGTTGCGGATGATGACCTCCGCCGTGTCCTCCATAGCATGATTCCGTTTTTAGTGGTCGAAGACTTGCGTTGCATCTATTTCGTCCTCTCCTTCCTCGCCTACAAGGATCTAATGTCAGGAGAGAGAGAGAGAGAGAGAGAGAGAGAGAGAGAGAAAAGAAGCTTGGAGGTGGGATCCAGCACACTGACTGGCAAGGCTAAACAGACCTTCTACGCATGCCATACACGCATGGCCCGGGACTTCACACAAACAGGGAGGACTCGGGCCGAAATTCTTAAATGTGATTTCGCTTAGGAAGGGTTGCTTCGGTGGGGCTGTAATATTGATTAGCACGCAGCATAATCTTTCGATATTTCGGACTCGGCAGGATGCCAGCTTTAGTATACGCTGATTTTCAATCTCCCATAGAAACCGTACTCCGCACAAAATGATTTCTTAAGTAGCATGCATTTCTCCCATGGATTGTTGATGCCCTTAAAAATTTAAATATATTTTATAGAAAATGTGTACAAAAATAGGCCATCTTTTACTCATCTGGGTAGAAAATCTCATTGTTTTTACATTTTACGCCCAAGGAAAGTGTATATTTTGGTTTAAAAAAAGTTTTCTAATTCCCGAATAATTTTGAGCCAGATCTGCCACTGCATTAGCGTTTAGCGATTTCAGTTTGCAAGGTGCACGCTTTCCACGAAAGGAAAATCATATATTCCTCTTTGCTTTTAGAAATATATCATATAGAGTTTGTAAAATTTTGCAATGGATCCGGACTGTGTTGTACATTTCCTGGGAAGGCTTCGTAAACTGATATGTACGATGTTGCACAGATGGGCATCGCACGGTCTTGAAAAGCTCATAATTAGAAAGTTTTTGAAACCTAAATATGCACTTTTTTCATCTGTAAGGTATGAAGACAGTGTGATTTTCTACCGAACACGTAAAATAAGGCCTATTTGTGTGCACGTTTTCTATAAAATATATTTGAATTGGCAAGACCACCGAAAATCAATACGAAAAATTCGTGCTAATTAAATAGTCATTTTATACAGATCTCGGTTCCTGCAGAAGGTCAGAAAGAAGTACTTCCAAAAGCCGATATCCTGGTGAGTCCGAAATGCTATAACATTGTGCTGCATGCTAATCAATGCTACTAGCTCACCTAAGTAATACTTCCTGATCGAAGACACATTTCAGAATTTCGGCCAACATTTCATGAGATAGGTCACGCACGGTAAGTGGGGGTGGTAGGGGGGCGCTCACCGACCGTTTTTTTACGGACCTCGCTCGTCCCGTTGCGCTTTATGGGCACTTTCTCTCGAGCCTAACCAGTAGCCGCACAGTGGGGCATGATATAGGCAGAATGTTATTCTCGACAATGACAAGGGAGGCATTGGACTTCTAACCAACGCGCGACTGCGACATGCTGGTTAGAAGTGCAACGCCTCCCTTTTCCTTGTCGAAAAAAAACATTCTGCCTAAGTGGGAGTGCTGCAGAGACCATACTAAAAAGAAGTCGTAGTGTCCTGCCTCTTCATCTTGAGAGGACTGAGCGATCCCGTCAGTTGGTAGCCCTCTAGGCCAGAATTGGTTCCAAAGGGCATTCAGCCCTTTTTACGAAACTGATGTATCCTCTTATCGTATGACCGTTCGGCCGTGGCAAATATTGATGTCCAGCGTGTGCCCCCCGGTGTGACGGGCGCAGGGACAGTGACTTGCGCAGACTTGCACTGCATCTATTGCGCCACCCCCCTTTCGCATCCAAAACAGCTCAGACAGGAAAAAGAAAATTGGAGGCGGCTAAACAGACAGCCTGCACGTGTCACACACACAACTGGTTCGCAAACAAACGTCCAGGTCTTCACATAAACGAGGAGGACTCGGATGCAATACAGGTCGGTCGGTCAACTGGTGTGGCAGAAAACTTCTGACCAGTTTTCGGATGCCGAAGTTGATACGACCTGATGGCGGTTGTTTTGAGACAAGAGAGATCTTTGAATTTACAGTTTTGCCGAGAACCACATTAGGAGGACCGAGAGGCCAGCGGATTGACCGAAATCTCCGCAGTTGCCTCAAAAAGCAGCAAAAAAAATCTATAAGGCGTGCGTTTCGTCATTTAAGTAGTATTGCGAGGGGGCTGAAACAAATTTGTGCAGAAAACACATACTACTCCAGTTCAGCCGGTTCAGGGATGGCGTTAATTCCCTGAGTCCAATTCTATTTGACTCTTTAACCTCAACTCTAACGCTCAACCAATCTGGCTGGGAGGATTCCGCTTAATTATCAGACACAATAATGAAAAATAGGAAATGGAAGGGCGAGAAAACGCCGCATTTACAGGCATAGCAAAGTCGTTCCCAAGAAAGTGGCCTCCCGTTTTATGGAACTGATGCAACCCCCTGGTGCGTACTGACATTGATGTAGTTAACACATTTTGGAGGCATTTGCTTGGAACTTTTTCCTTACTGAATAAAATCCAGTGGAGTGGAACGGTCCCTGCAAAACCTGATGAGCATGATTTATTTAGCTAAATGATACTGCACTGTATAGCAGGCTGAAGACTGGCCCAACAAATCTCCGAGTTTTACGTACCCCGTGGTCGCGTCACAAAGGACCCTCACTGTCGGTACGTTCTCCGACTTAAGGTCGTATTCGCGCCGTCGCCGTCGCCGCGGCCGTTCCTGCATGATTAATATTCATGACCAATATGACATAATCTGGCAGTAAAGTTTTACTTGTTGGCTGTCGTTGTGACTGCAAACGGGTGGCAACCGCTCCTAACTAGCTCTCACATACGCCCAATGTCTCGCACGTCTGGACATACGGCCGAAGGAAGGTTGAAGCAACCCTTGACGCTTTGAAGGACGGAGGTAAAGAGGGTTGCCCATACAATCGTTGATGTGGGTGCGGTCGCGGTGCTGGCAAATCTCATTGTCATTTGAAGCACCAAAAAAAGTGAAACAGATTGATATGTATCGTAATTTCTGTCCATGTGTATCCGGTCTCTTCAGCTTTGACTTGCTGAATGCATTGCTATTTGCCCAGAATAGACACTCACCCGTATAGGTCTAGAGTTTGAACGTTGTGGTCGCAAAATTCTAGGAAAATGGTCTGGATCACCTAGTCAACCAGATCTGGAACTAATCATTGATATCTGAAGCTTAGTTGGCAATCATTTTTTCCTGTCTCAAACTAAATGCTTCTAACTGAATCAGCGTCTTTTTGTCGGATAACATAGGACGAAGGAATAGTGAGGATACATTGAACGAAGACATAAACAGCCCTTTGCCAACACTAAGCCCTTGGTTTATGAGGCGGGTATGTTCGGTTCTTAGCTGTAAACTGAAATCTTAACTGTCGGGTAAGGAGTTTTGGAGCAGTGGTTAAAGAGGTCCGTGTCGATACGGCCCGTGTCTGAGTAAACTGTTAACAGCATAAACGTTTTCTTATGGGTTCTGTTGCGAAATTTGTTGCTGTGGCGAGCAAAAGAGTTGTATCGAAGAAATAGGAGATTTTCTTCAGGCGAAGTTGACCATTTGTGGCTCAGATAACAAGATCCGACCCTGGCTTTAAGTTTGATAAGTCAGAAATCCTTGTAAGAAGTGACAGCGTGCGAGTTGTGAACCGCTGTGACATGGTTTTCCAGTCTGTGGTTCTTCAAAAAGCGTGAGGGCCGCGCCGCCCCAAATTCGACCCCTTGGCTTCTTCGAATGTCCTAGTAGTTATTCCGCAATCATCAACACCAATGATGACATCTCAGCGGTCGACGACCTTATCATCATCGTCAAAAATACGATACGCGACGTCACCGTCCAAGATTGCTCAGTTTAGTAGGTTCGTAGATGCATTGCACCCAAGCTACGTCCGTAGGTATCCGTGTCTCACACCTAGCTCTATCACGAAGACGATACGTCAGGCTGGTAGACTTCTTTTACCAGCGACCAATCCCCCTCCCCCTTTAGGCATCCTCCTGTTGGGGAGTTGACTCCGCCAAAATGTTTCAGTTTGGCGAGATGTCTGTTTTACGAAGAGCGTGAACAGTAGTCCAAACCATTCTCTGAGCGGTGTGATCCGATTGCAGGGTTGGGCGCGCTCACTGCATCGCAGTCTTGGTAATCAGATTCAGGTCTTTACACTGATCCTCATATTAGCGAGGAAACCAATGAACAAAGAGGTTCAGCGACAAACTCAAGATTCTGGGAGTGGTCAGTGGACAACTTTACTAGCGTCAAACACCCCATAATTCTACCGTCGCAGTCCCTCTACGCGCACCACTCGCGAGCTAGCCACCGCTCTAAGTGTACCGGGCTACCATAGGAGTGAATCACATCCCTCTATTCTTAGCGTGTCGTGTTGACCGCCCACACACTAGTCCTCTGTGCGAGCCTGCTGATGGGATTAGGTCCAGTCGACAACAAGACTAAATAGCTCGCCCACGCCAGTCGAAAACTGACTTGGCCACCACTTCATGTATCTGGTCAACTATACCTGTGGCACTGCACTCAGGCCGGTCCAACCATTACGCCAGTCCACTAGCAAGTAGTCCTAAGTCGTGGCGCATACATACTACCAGTTGCCTTGCGTGGACAGCTAGCTTTTGCAGGAAACCCGACCTCCTGTTTCCGGCAAAGATCGCAATTTGTAGCAAGCATACGCGGCAGAATTTACTGAAAGCAACAAATTTCGCGACGGCTTATCAACAGTAATCTGTCGTTGCATAACAGAGATAACGAATGAAAAAGATGCAGAGATTCGAATTTCCAGAGAAAAAAAAAACAATGCAAGCAAGCAAGGTCATCGTTTTCTGCAAGCCGACTAATCAATCAAAATGGCAACTTAAAAACACAACTTAGCATGCAGAGGGGTATGCCAATCGAAGAGCTAAGATTTACCTGGGCAATATGAGGTTGACCACGTGCTCTAACTGATTGCATAGGTCGAGTTTCTCCCACCGTATGTACAGTAGGTGGGCTAACTCATGAAATGTCAATCAAACTTCCGAAATGCGCTTCCGTTTCGAAAAGATTAATTAAGTGGGGTTGTAAAACTGGTCAGCCTTCAACATGATTCCATAATATTTCAGTTACGTCAGGATGTCGACTTTCAAATAAACTTTCTTCTGGCTGCAAGAAAAACCACACTCTGTAAAAAACGACTACTTAAGTGGCTGAATTTCTCTCATTGATTTTCAATGCCCATAAAAGTCCAATTTTATTTCATGGAAAACAGGCATAAAAATATTCACTCTTTTGCTCATTCGGTAGAAAATGACGTCTTCTTCCAATTGTATACTCCAACAAAGGGTATTATTTGGTTTTCAAAAGCCTTTCCAATTCCCGAATAATTCTGAACCCGCTGTAACGTTACGCTTGGATTCAGGGTTTCAAAAATACAAGCCATATATTTCCCGCGTACGGAAAACCACACATTTCCCTACGGTAATAGAGGGGGACCATACAGGGTTCATAAAATTTGGAAGTGGATTTGATCCATAATGTTAACTTTACAAGCCACATTGGTAAGTGCAGAGACATGACGATTTATGAACGGCCATTTCGCGATATCTAAAAGTCGCACAATTAGAAACTTTTTTAAAACCGAATTGTGTCCCTCCTTCGAGTGTAAAATTAGAAGATGTAATTTTCTACTGAATGGGCGAAAAAATGAATATTTTCATGGATGTTTTCTATGAAATATAATTGGACATTTAGGGGCATTGAAAATCAATGAAAAAAATGCATGCTATACAAGTTGTCGTTTTTTGCAGAGCGTAGTATTTGCATGCGGCCGAGAGGAAGTTCCTTCGAAAGCCGGCACCCTGAAGTAACTGAAATATCATAGAATTATGTTGCAGGCTAACTACTTTTTCAACCCTACTTAATTATTTTTTCGAAACGAAAACGCATTGTGGAATTTCGGCTGACATTTTCTGAGTTAGCCCACCTTCTGTACTCTTCCATGTTCCCTGGGAAATACGAAGAATTCTTATCCACGTGTACTTATTGACTCCGTGCTTCATCTTCCAATCTTTTTGTTCAAGTTGCAAGAAAACATACAGTAGATGCATCGTAAACTCTAAAATGCGTTGGTGGGGACAAGATCTGGTGACACCTCAGTCGTCATATGGGCCACAGTTTTTGAATATCCACTGCAGGCGTCAGCTGCGTGGGTTTCGCAGTTGTGTGTTGGCGGGCAATTCGAAGCGACGGCAATGATTCACAAGGCGCCTGTAAATTATTAGTCTGATGCTAAAAAGGGGACGTTTAACCAATGTGCACCCTTAAAACTGCCCAGAATGGTGGAAGATATTGCTTACGCCGCGATAAAGGGTAACATGTACAGCCCGTCAACTGTCAACAAAGCCAGTAGGTGGTCAGAAAATTTGGGGGAATAGTTTCAAAACATATTTTAATATGAAAAACGGGCTTTATCATTTTTCCTTATAGATTGAACATCTTACTTCAGAGTGAGGAAAAGAGAACAGGCCTTGTCTTAAAGTTAGAAATCCAAACTTTCCAGCAAAAAAACAACCCTAAGCACCATGTCCATGATGCAGATTACTAGTTATTATGCTAACAAGTGGGATCACAGTTCTTAGATTTCAGTCGCATTGAAAGTCAGAAATCGTGTCAGAGGTGGATCGCCGTAGGGTAGGAGATATGGCGGAATCCAGGCCGTGTTAGAAGGAATAACTTATCAGTAAGTGGGTCAAAATGGCGGAGGTGGGGAGTATTACTGAGACTTCGATAAGTAGATTGTTCAACTCTTGTAAATTGTCCTTTTACTCTGGATTTCAAAGGAATAAGCGACTCCGGCGGCAGGAACTAGCTGTCTTATAGGTGAAAAAGATTGATAGGTGGACGGCAAAGCATACGGGAAGGTGGGCATGTTAGTAGCGTGAACGTCTAGTGCAATAAACAAGTTTGCGAATTTTTTTCGAAAAAGGTTCGACCGGAAGAAGTAATGAGAGGTTGGAAGCCAGCGTAACCCCCAGATGGTAGAGTGATGAGAACCCGTGTGGGGGGGGTTGCAGTCGAAAGACATACTGAAATGACTCCTGACAGTTAAGTAGGAGAACGCATTCTGACGGCCATACTGGCACATAATCCAAGCCATCCTGAAGGCGTTGGAGATCGATCTCATTTTTAACAGAGTAATTAACAACCCTATTTTTGGCATACTAAACATGCAGGCAATCCTTGAGCTATCTCTGACCATCATCGTGAAGCGAAAAGAGGCAGGGGATTTGATGGAACGGTGAGGCGCTCCGCAGGTTGACAACCGGATATGTGGCCCTACATAGTCTTTAATTCTATTAAATATCTACTTATAACCTTCGGCAAACTCATTCTCCCTCACGCCTCCCTCAGTGGTTACCACTAGTGTTGGCGTTAGAGGGTTGTAAGTCAGGGTTATAAGCCAAGGTTTGGATTTGGGTTAAGAGTTAAGATGAGGGTTGGGTCTAGGGAGTTATAGTTGGGGTTAGAGTTGGACCTTAGCCATAGGTTTAGAGTTATAAGGTAGTAGTTAGGCTTTCAACGTTGTCGATTCTAGTTATATCTTGAGTTGAGGCCATCAGAAGAATTGGATATAAAAATATTTATTCTTTACACCTCCTCCTCTAATGTGTTCGAATGTCACATACTTGAATCACTAAGTCTGGAATATCAAACCAATGACTTCGATTCTCATTTCTGCCGTCCGTTTGCAGCTCCTAATTCCCAGTGCTTCAGATCGCGCGCCCGAGTTTTTTTGCGGTTTTTAATGTGTACTTTTTACTTTTGCTTTCCGAAAACAGTTGTCAGTCAGTTTTGTTTGGCCCATCCACAAAACCATCATCCCCATATAGCTGGAATCCTTGCCTCTCTTTTTCTTACTAGGGCCACATATCCGAATGTCACCCTCTGCACTTATAAGGACGAAGAATAAACTTCCAAT